GAAATTTTTTTCTAGAAAATTGTCTCCCAGGTATGTTGGGCTTTATACTATTTGATGGTAATGAAGTCTTGCTTATTTTTAAATTCTTGTGAGTTTAATTTCTTTTCCCTTATGCATTTGCCATTGGCCAGTATATCCAACACAGTATTGGAGAGAAATATTAATACTGGGTATGCTTCTGTTACTAATTTTGAATGGAATGCTTCTAATAATTTTCCAATAAAAGAGCTACTATGCGTTTTTAATTTTTTTAAATTTTATTTTTTGGATTCTACTAGTTTCCTGATTTTCTTACATTGTTAATTGTTGTTCAGATATTTTATCAAATGTTTTTATTTATTGAGATACTATGTTCTACATCTCAAAGGCTCATAAGATCAATTACATGCTTTCCTCCTCATTTATATGCCTAAGCTAAACATAACTTGGTCATGGTTATATATTTTTTTATACTGCTAGATATAATTTTGTAATGTCAAGGACTGCAGAAGTGTGCAGGGTTTTACCCTACTTACAAGCTTTAAATAAGTTAGCTGGTTTCTGTTTCCCAGATAGTAGTAGAAGAGGATATCTTGGGTCAGAGAGAAATCCATGAAATGGGCCTAGGTGTAGGCCTTGTGTACAGGAGGCTTGCATTATAGTTGAGTAATCCAGATGCAAGCGTCCATCATTTTTCAGGCAAAGAACAAATACTGAAACAAGCAGTAAAAAGGTAGTTTTGCTTCCCCAAGCAGCAGTTATGTAGTAGCAATGATGTAGTTGCCTTGACCTGTTTACTGCCCATGTCAGGAGACAGAGAAGCTCCTCTAATCTCTAACCCTCACTAAAGATACAAAAGAAGCACAAGGCCTGCTGCCTTGCACAGCAGTATGTTTTTATGGACGTTTCTGTATGTGTTTATGAATGAAGTAGACTTGTGTATTTCATTATTATTCAAGTGTGTATGGCATTTATATTGGCTTTGAAACAGAAGGGAAAATTGCTTGTTTTTCAGTTGTCTAAAGTAGTTTGTGTAAGACTGAGTTAATCTGTTCCCTGAAATGTTGGTTTTCTTTGATGAAACCATGTACTATCTTAGTATACAAGAGTACTTCAAAAACTATAGGAAAGATGGAATAAAAGATGAATTTAGGAATTGGATATTTAACCTAGCACTCAAGAGACTCCTGAGTTCCTCTTTGGAGCGTCTGGGAACAGTCGCTGGCCCCATCAGGTGCCGATTTAGATCTTTGGAAGTGGCTGTAATGGCTCAAGTGACTAGGGAAGGCTGTGCTCGGATGCTGCAGCATCTGGGGAGTGAACCAGCTGTGCGAGTTCTTGTTTCCTTTTGCTCTGTATGTGTATATATATGTGTGAGGGAGAAGAGCACTGCCTCTGCAGTTGAAATAATTGCGAAGAAACAAAGTTTTATTTTGTTGCAAAAACATTTGGACTCAATACCTAGTTTTATCATAGTATGTATTTTCCATGAATGCTTTGAGGATCACTCATATAGTTTTAGGTATAAGAAAAAATGAGGGCTTCTTATTGTTAATCAGTTGGTGTTTTTGGACTTACTATCTGTTTTGTTGGAATTTATCTTTTTATAAGTTTGTAAATTGATTTGTGTAAGTTGATAATATTTTGTAAATATAATTCTAGAGTCTTGTCTATTTGTAATTGCATTAGCTCTTTTAACTTTTTTTTAAGATTGATTTGTCTATTTGAAAATTAGAGCAAGGGAAAGGGAGAGACAGAGAGAAGTCTTCTCATCCACTGTTTTACTCCGCAGGTGCTCTCAACAGCTAGGCCCAGACCAGACCAAACGCAGGAGACAGGAGCTTCTTCCAGGTCTCCCACTTGGATGCAATGCCCAAGGATTTGAGGCATCCTCCGCTGCTTTCCCAGGCTATAAACAGGGAGCTCTTTTCATTTTAAAGATAGTTTCGGAGATGGGCTTTGGCCTAGTGATTAAGATATTAGCTAAGATGCCTACATCCCAGGGCTGGCATTGTGGCCAAGAAGTAGAGTCACTGCCTGCAATGGGATGCTGCAATGGGGTTCAAATTCTGGCTGCTCCATTTCTGATCCAACTTCATGCCAATGTGCCTTGGAGAGCAGTGAGGATGACTTAAGTGTCTGGGTCTCTCCACACAGGTGGAAGACCTGGATGGAGCTCTTAGCTCCTGGCTTTAGCCCAACCCAGATCATACTGGTGTGGTATTTTTGGGTCAATCAGCAGGAGGAAAATATATCTCTGTAATTCTGCCTTTCATTTTTTTCTAAAGATTTATTTGTTTTTTATTGCAAAGATATACAGAGAAGAGGAGAGACAGAGAGGAAGATCTTCTGTCTGCTGATTCACTCCCCAAGCAGCCGTAGTGGCTGGAGCTGTGCTGATCCAAAGCCAGGAGCCAGGATCCTCTTCTAGGTCTCCCATGTGGGTGCAGGGTCCCAAGGTTTTGGGCCGTCCCCCGTTGTTTTCCCAGGCCACAAGCAGGGAGTTGGATGGGAAGTGGAGCTGCTGGGATTAGAACCGGTGCCCATATTAGAACACACTTGGTGTGTTCAAGGTGAGGACTTCAGCCGCTAGACTGCTGTGCCAGGTCCAACTCTGCCTTTCATGTTAATAAATATTAAGGATAAGAACAAAAGGAGGGAAGGAGGCAATGAAGGAAAAAAAAGAAAGGAACAAGGAAAGAAGAAAGAATACCTACCTCCTATCTGAGAGAAAGATAGAGATCTTTCATGCACACCTGCCAGGGCTGGAAGGGCCTCTAACACTTGGGCCATCATCTGCTGCATTTCCAGGCACATTGGGAGGAGGATGTTAGGAAGAGGAGGAGCCAGGACTTGAACTGGCACCCTGATATGGGATACAGGTGTTCTGAGTGGTGCTTGCTGCATCACAACCTTTCCCCTGCCTGGGATGCTTTTAGATGCTTTGCCTTTTTATGTAAATTCAAGATTCTGCTTGTGAGTTGTTCTGGAATTTTTGAGTGTGTGTGCTTGTGTGTTGAACAGGTAGATCACTTTGGAGATTATCACTGCTTCAATCTTGTGATTTAATATTGAGGTTTTCAATTCAGCGTGTCTTTATTCATGTAGAATGTTTTACAGTTTTCAGCATGCAAATCTGACATATTTTCCTAGATATTTCTTGTTGTTATTTGATACATTTTATGCTGTTGTAAATTGGTATTGCTTGTTAGAATTTTGTTTCAGAACTAAACTGCTTGTTTGATCTCTTCTTGCAAAGTTTGTAAATTTAGAAACTGTAGATTCATCATCTATATGTAGAGACCATTTACTTTTTTCTTTTACAATGTGTAGTGTAATTTTAATTTACTTTTCTTGCCTTATCATACTGGCTAGAACATTTGGTACAGTATTGAATAGAATTGGTGACAGTGTATATCTTTGCTTTATTGATTGTAGAGTCCATCTTTCAACATTAACATCGATTGTAGGACTTCGGTAATGTTTTCTTCTGTTTCACACTTTCTAAGGGCTTTTGTCATTGATGTGAAATTAGAAAAGTTTCCAAAACATTTCTGTAATTGCTTTCTTAAATGATTGAGTTTTTCAGTAAAACCAAATGCACTTGTAATTTTCTCTTGAAACATTTAGCATTGAGATTATCCCGTTTTGTTTCTCTTCTTTATTGCGTCATTAAATTATCATAATGGATCATGATTTTAAATGAATTTTACTAATACTGGTAATCTACATAACAAAAACACTGCCCAATATGAGATCTGTTTTAGCTCATGGTTTTAGCAGCTGAAAGGTTCAGACAGTGTAGTGAGAGTTCAAATACATTCCAGTGAGAGTTCCCTGACTGGGACACATAATACAGAGAAGCAGAAGAGGGACCCTTCACCTGCCTAAGAGGCCGAGCATGTTAGATGGCCTTGCTTTATAGCACTCCACTCTAGCAAGAATTACTTCAGTCCTATGAGATCTATATTAATCCCTTCTGAGTGTGGTGGCTCATGACCTACTTACATTTCTATAAAGCTCCACCTCCTAAAGGTTTCACCATCTCAGCACTGTAACATTCATTTCCATTAAGCAATTTTTTTTTTAATAAAAAAGGAATCAGTCTTGCCTTTGTTGTTTGTTTTCTATTTCATTTGTCATTTTTTGTTTCTGTATTTCTCAATGTCTTGTGATATCTATATCCTCTAATGTAGTAATTTAATTCTTTTGTTACTTCTTTTGCTGCATTATTTTGATTTCTATTCTTAAAGGTTAGCCTGGAATTACAATTCCTACAACTCCATATGTAGGAGTCTAATTTGCATTAATATGAACTTAATTTCAATAGTATTAAAAGCTGCATCTCAGATTCCCAGTGAAACTGTTGGACATGTGTAGACAATGGGATGCTGGATGTCTGACACTGTCTGTACCAGCAATGTCAGGGCACACTTAAATAAGAGACTGATGGAATTATGACTTCTTATGAAGGACTATCCTATTGTAGCAATGTGGGGAAAATCTGTCGGGGGATAGGAGTTTAGGGGTAATCCCAAATAAAGTAAAATTTAAAAAGTTGTATCTGAATTGTATTAGTTCTCTGAGACTGTTTTCTTCATTATTTTCTCTTGTAGTTCTTCAGATTGTACAATTTCAACTTACCTTTTAAGCTATTTGCCCTTCCTTCTGCTTACTCAATGCTGCTATTGAACTCTTCTATGGATTATTTTTCATTGTGGTTTTTAAATTTCATAGTTAGTTTGCTTCTTGGTAACTTATTTCTTGATAATTCTTTTATACATCATTCTTATTCTTTAATTCTGTATATATCCTTCTCTTTAACTAAACATACAGATGTTCCTCAGCTTAGTACAGTTACATCCCAGTAATAAGTTTATATGGTTTCTTTGGATATGTGTAATCATATTTAATACGATAGTCTGCAGCTTGAAACGTTGGCATTTGGTTATATAGAATGCATTTTTGTCTAGTTTTTCAACTGTGAGTCTTACAGTTTTTATTTTTATCTTCTACTATAGGCAATCCTTTATCACAGGATATTCTCAATTTATACCAGGACCCAGATGGAACCCGAAAGCTACTGAACTTCATGCTTGACAATCTTGCAGGTAACTAATAATGACAAAACAGTAAACTGTACAGATTTTTTAAAAGATTTGCTTATTTCTGTTTGAGAGGCAGATTTAAAGAGAGAGGCGGAGAGACAGAGAAATCTTCCACTCATTGGTTCATTCCCCAAATAACTGCAGTGGCCAGAGCTCAGCTGATCTGAAGCTGGGAGACAGGATCATCTTCTGGGTCTCCTGTATGGGTGAAGATATCCAAGGACTCACACGGCCCTCTGCTGCTCTCACAGGCAGTAGGAAGGGAGCTGGATCAGAAGTGGGGCAGCCAGGAGTCAAACTGTCATCCATTTGAGATGCTAGTGCTGCGGTTGGATGAATTGGCCTGATAAGCCATTGAGCTGGCCCCAAGATTTAATGATGTCTTTTAAATGTGGAATTAGAAAGAGAGTGTTGAGCACAAGAGAGTGAGCCACATGTGTGTGATTGCGGTGTGTGGGGAGAGAGAGAGAAAGAGAAAGAGAAAAGAGAGAGAGAGAGAGAAAGAGTCAGTTTTTTCCCATTCACTGGTTCATTCCCGAAATGGCTGCAACATGGCTTGACTGAGCTGAACCAGGAACTAGATCCGGATCTCCCATGTGGGTGGCAGGAGCCCAAACACTTAGACCATCGTATTGCTTTCCTAGTCCACCACCAGGGAGCTGGATCAGAAATAGAGCAGCCAGTACTCCAGTGGGTGACCATATGGGATATCAGTGTCACAGGTGGCTGACCTCTTATATTATTAATCGCAAATATATCAGATGATTTTCAAAAGCATGAGAGGTTTTTTAAGACTAGTTTCCTGTAGACTTGGAGTTTCTTTCATTAATAATTTCCATGATAGTATGACATTCTTTTCATGTTCTGAGTACTTTATGTTTGCTAAGCAGTATGTTAAGAGCCTTACTTAGAGTAACTTGATTAATCTTTCTATGAGCCTCAGAGGTGTAGGAGATTTTATTTATATTTTGTGGGTGCAAATTCTAAGATTTGAATACCAACCAATTTGCATTAAAGTCATGGCCGTGAAGCCAATTTGTTTTTCTTCTAATTACAAAGTTACACATCTATCAATTGTTTCAATTTGATATAAATTACTTAGAACCCACACATTTTCTATATTTTCATGAGTGACCTAGCTACAGGTGATTTTTCAACAGTGTTTCATACTTCATGTTGGTTGTATGGTGTTCCCATACCAAATCAGCTAATTTTCTTGGAATAAAGTATTCCAAGAAAAAAATGCTGAGTCAGGTCTCAACAAATGAAGAATTACGGAATAGAGACTATCATCACAATATTTTTGACATGCCACTCTCCCATTGTGTGAAGTAGAGTTTATGTTAAGGTAAAACCAAATTAATATGACCTAAAAAGTGGATGAAAAAATTAGAAGTTGATGAAAAAAAATACAAAAAGTTATTTCCAAGATAATTTTGATAGAAATATGTGGCGGTTAGAGCTATATATATAGCATGTGTATGCTATTTACAAATTGCTTTAAAGCTCTTATAAGTATAGATTTGGGCAGCCAACCAAGATGGATACTATGTATCTCTTTGTGATTTCTCAGAAATTCTTTTAAATACAAGTTGTTTATATATGTATAAATTTTCATTGATCAGTTTTTTTTGAGCAGAAAAATTTAACACTTCAATTTATTAATCTTTTTCTGTTAAGGTGCTGCTTTTGTATTCTGTTTAAAATTTTTTGTCTACCATTTAATTAAGGGCATAGTCTTACATTATTTAGAAACGTGTTTTTTCACTTGTAACATGTAACTTTCTAGAATTGATGAATTTTGTGAATTTTGCATAGGTAATTTTTTTCGCAAAAGTAACATCGAGCAATTTATTGATAAGACTATCCTTTCATTTTTGTTTTTAGTGTTTTCTTTGTCACAACTTCTTAAGTTGTTTATGTAGTGTATGGATTTGCTTCTGGATTCTCCATTGTCTCACCTAAGTTTTACAGCAGTATAAGAATGTCTTTAATTACGTTAGCCGTAAAAATCTTGAGATCCATTAGATTAAGTTTTCCTTTTAATCCTGTTGGGAATAATGGGTAGTTTTGTCTTCTTGCTGCTTTAGCCTTGTATGAAAAAATTTCATAAAGTTGATGGAAAATGGGATTAAAATGTTTGGTGTGTTTTTGAAAATCATTAGTGTTTTTCATGACACACATTTCCTGTAACCTTTTTCAAGATGCCCCATATTTTCATCATAACTTTAAGGATGAATTTTTCTTATCTTCTTTCTTCAAAATGTAGGAGTATTATTTGGAATTGTATTGAATCTATAGATCACTCTGGAAAGAACTGATAGATTTACAAATTAATCTTAACTCTTCTGTTGGTGATTTTTTTTTCAAGATTTATTTATTTATTGGAAAGTGAGATATACAGAGAGGAGGAGAGACAGAGAGGAAGATCTTCTGTCCGATGATTCACTCCCCAAGTGAGCGCAACGGCCAATGCTATGCCAATCCGAAGCCAGGATCCAGGAACTTCTTCCGGGTCTCCCACACGGGTGTAGAGTCCCAAAGCTTTGGGCCGTCCTCGACTGCTTTCCCAGGCCACCAGCAGGGAGTTGGATGGGAAGTGGAGCTGCCGGGATTAGAACCAGCACCCATATGGGATCCCGGGCGTTCAAGGCAAGGACTTTAGCTGCTAGGCCACGCCGCCAGGCCCTGTTGGTGATTTTTATAGTATCTCTGTGTCAAGAGTTCAAGTTTCTGTCTGGGAACTGCTTTATATTTATTCTAAGCATTGACCCTTTTGAATAGTCTTTAAAAAATCTTACATCTTCATGGCTTTTTGTGATATATGAAATACAACGGCTCAGTTTTGTGTATTTCTTGGTTTTTAGACATCTTTCTAGACTATTCCTAAATAAAATACATAGGCACATTGATAAGCTGTTTTTTTTTTTTTTTTTACATTTTTATTGGAAAGGCAGATATACAGAGGGGAGGAGAGACAGAGAGGAAGGTCTTCTGTCCACTGATTCACTCCCCAAGTGACCTCAATGGCCCCAGCTGCACTGATGCAAAGCCAGGAACCTAGAGTCTCTTCCAGGTCTCCCCCATGGGTTCAGGGTCCCAAGGCTTTGGACCATCTTCCTCTGTTTTCCCAGGCCACAAGCAGGGAGCTGGATGGGAAGTGGGACTGCTGGGACATGAACTGGTGCCACATGGGGTCCTGGTGCATTCAAGGCGAGGATTTCAGCCGCTGGGCTCCTGCACTGGACCCAATAAGCTGTTTTTAATCCTACTGCATTTTTAGTTCAATTTATGCAAGGTTATCTGCAAATTCCAGTTGCATAACCTTTTCCTATCATTGTGTTTAATTTCTCTTCCAATATTTATATTTTCACTTAATGTCTTAATTTTTTCCCTTTGCTTTTACTTCACTTGGCAAGACCACCAATAAAATGCTAATTGAAGGCAGTGGTAATGGACATTTTTACCTAGTTTAACTGTTTTCTAACTTCTAAAATTTTATAATTTATAATTGACCATTTTACTCACTTTAGTTTTTATATAAAGCTTTTCAGACTAAGGAAGTGTTTTTTATTTGTTTGTATGTTTTTTTACTAACCAGGAAAGGGCTTTTAAAATTTTTTTTAAATATAAATAGATGAGTAGATATTAACTGTAAGTAAATGCCTATTCTCTGTTGAAATAGATGATTTTTATCATTTATTTTGCTCATAGAATAGGTATATTAATCTTCGTAAGTTTACAACTTTGTACTGCTGGGATAAACTCGAGTTCATAATACATTGTTATACCTAGATTCTTTTTACTAATATTTATAATGTTGTTTTTCAACTATGCCTACGAGTGAGATTGGCTAATAATTTTATTTCTTTAATGTCCTTTGTTGAGTTTTGCTATTAAAGGTGTGTTGGCTTTGGTACTGACAGGTGAAGCTGTGGCCTGCACCTCCAGCTTGCCATACCGAGGTGTGGGCTGGATGCCCTGCAGCTCCCTGCTGGTGTGTGTGGGCCTGGCACTCAGCCCCCTGGCCAGGATGGAGCGCCAGGCTCCTGGCTTTGGACGGCCCAGCCCTGGCTGTTGCGGCCATTTGGGAGGTGAACTAGCAGATGAAAAATCTTTCTCTCCTTCTTTCTTTTTTCACTCTTTAAATAAATAAGTCCTTAAAAAATTTAAATTGACTTTGTACTATTTATTGAGAAATATGTCCTCAGGTTCTGTCATTTGGAGGAGTTCAAGATTGTTGTTTTTTCTAAATCTTAGGTAGAATACATCTGGGGTTTGGGTTTCTTCATGAGAAATTTCGAAGTCCTGATTTAATTTTTTAGTAACTGTAATTCTATTTGATATTTCACTTTTGTCCAGTTCTGAAAGTTATGTTTTATGGAAACTTGGGCTTTTTTGTCTAAATTTTCAAATTTATTGGCATAATGTTCAGGATTTCTTATGTCTCAGTGTTTGCTATATAGTGGTGTCTGTCATCTATTACAGTTACTTATTTGCATTGTCTATATTCCTATATATTTTTTAAGGTTTTGAACGGTCTAATAATGGGGGAAATCTCTTCCATCCACGGTTCATTTTTCTAAAATGGTTGTACAAAATACCAGAACCTTTTAGGTGTACCCTATTGTGTTTTTATTTGCATCCTCTATACTTGTCCCTGTACCCCCTTACCTCCACCCTTCTGGGTTTCTAATAATCACAGTTTTAAAATTCAGATTGAACAGATAACTTTGAAAAGATTTATTATTATTATTATTATTTTGCTTGAAAAAATTACAGAGAGAGAAGGGAAGACAGAGTCTTCCCTCTTCTGATGCAGTCTCCAAAAGGCTGCACTGGCTGGCGCTGGGCTGGTCCAAAGCCGGGAGCCAGGAGCTTCTTCCAGGTCTCCCATGTGCTAACAGGGGCCGTCTTGTACTGCTCTTAGGCCATCTTGTACTGCTTTGCCATCCATTCGTGGGGAGCTAGATTGGAAGTAGAGCAGCTGGAACTTGAACCAACACCACGTTTAGCCACTATGCCAAAGCTCTAGTCCCAAATAAATAATGTTTCATTTGGGGGACCTTGTAGTATTTTTCTTTCTATATCTTGCATATTTCATTCGACATAATGATTTCTAATTATATTTGGCTGCACGTCAGGATTTCATTGTTTTTAATGACAGAATAATGCTCCATTGCATATGTATGGCACATTTTATTTGTTCATTTGTTTATGGATAGCTACACTGATTTTGCCATTTGTCTATTGTCAATAGGGTTGTAGTGAGCATTTGTGTACAAATCTGATTTTACTTTAGGATGTATGCCCAGAAAAGGGATAGCTGGATCAAATTCCAGATCTGTTTTTAGATTTTTGAGGCAGCTCCATAATGACTGTACTTGAAGTGAATTGCTTATGATCAGCATGTAGTGGAGTCATGGGTCATGTTTTTTCATTTACTCTGCTAAGATTCTGCCCTGTCTTTTAATCTGTCAATTTAAGAATAGTAGATACCTATACAGAGGACCACACCATATTCTTAGATTTTTTTGCTTCATCTATCAAGTATGATTTAAGAAGCTGATGGGGAAAATGATAGTTATGTATTTACCTACAATTTTATCTGTTACTTGTGGTAAACTTTTGGTGTCCCATTTCTTCTTTCATATTTTCATTTGTAATGGTTTTTTTTTTTTAAGATGTATTTCTTTGAAAGGCAAAGTTACAAAGAAAAAGGGAGTGACAGAGGTGGGGGGCTGGTCTTTTCATCTGTTGGTTCACACCTGAAATGGCTGCAATATCTGGGCCAGGATCTTCTTCCTGGTTGCCCACATGGGTGCAGGGGACCAAGCACTTGGACCTAACCTTGGCCTCTAAGGCACACCAGCTGGGCACTGGATCAAAAGTTGAGCAATGAGAATTTGAGTTAGTGCGTGTACAGGATGTGTGGGCTGCAGGTGGCCCCTTAATTCACTGTACCACAGCACTGGCCCCAACAAGTAGTCTTGGAACAGTGAAGTCTCATAGCTTTCCTTTAACTGCTTGCTGTTGATTTATGAAGATAAGCTACTGAACACAGAATTGGCAGTTTAAAGCCCTTAAAGAATATACTTTGTCCTTGGACTTCCATGGTTTCAGAAAGGAAATTCAGAGTGATTCAAATTTGTTATTTCCTCTTGAGTAATGTATTATTTCTCTCCTTTGTTTTTAAAGTTCTTTCTTTGGTTTTCACAAGTTTAATTATGTTCTTATTTAGGCTTCTTTGGGTTTATTGTAATCAAAGATTGTCCACCTTCTTGAATTTGTGATTTTCTGTCTTTAACATTTGTGTAGAATTTAATCTCTCATTTCTTTAGCATACTTTTTCAGCTCTCATTTCTTTTTGTTCTTCTGAAACGCTGATGGTCTTATTGTGCCACAGGCAGGTCCTTGAGTTTCTGTTCATTTTGTTTTTGTTGTTGTTCAGATTAAGTTCTATTGTTCTGTTGTCAGGATCACTGCTTTTATCTTTTGATGAAGTTATATCTTGTTAAGTCTATTGTACCCTTAAAATTTTTGTTTTTGCAAGTTCCTATCTCCTCTGAAGTTTTAAAATATAACCCCTTTTTTGTTTTTCTTGTTTGCATTTGTCTCAAGGAAAATTGTAACTATTTGTTCAAGCAGATAATTTCAACATCCTATTCATGTCACTGTTGGTTTCTTCTGAAAAACTTTTCTCTGGTTGTGGTTTTCCTGGTTCTTAGTGTGATCAGTGATTTGTAGTGCAGATGGTTTGGATGTTGTGTTAGGAGACTCTTGGTCATCTCTACGTGTTCAGTTGTGGCAGACAGTTGCCCTGTTTAGCTTTAGCGTGTAGACGGTGTTCTCCCTTCCAGGCCCTGCTGACACCTTCCCTGAGGGCAGAGCAGGCTCACTGCTGTCAGCCGTGTCAGGTGTGGGATAGGCTTGGAGATGCTGCTTTGGTTAGATTGGGTCAACATTATTGCTTTTCTGAAAAAGTAGTATTCTTTTATCCTATTATTGACCATGCTGTTTTATCTTTTAAAAATTGCATTTAAATATCTCGTGACTGTATTATCATTCTTGCTAAAATTCCTGTTAAGGTTAGAGTTTCATTTGTCTACTCTTTTATCTCAGTCTCATGTAAATGATCATGGTTCTAAGTTGGATGTGTATACTTGTGCTTTTGTTAGACATTGATTTGTGTGCAGATATTATCAGAATTTTGTACTGTTTACTGTATGCTTTTAAATTTTTCAAATAAATTCTGATTCCATTATATATATATATATATAGACATTTTAATTAAAGAAAGTTATTTATTTGAGAGGAAGAGAGAGCCAAGTAGTGAGCCAGAAACCGAGAACCTTCATCCTCAGCTAGCCAGTGTTGGGGTTGCACCAGGCCACCGCCAGGGACCAGTAGCTGAATCTGGGCATTGCACATGGTGGCAGGGAATCAACTGCTGTAGTCAGCTGAGAATTTGAATCGGTAGCAGGATTAGTATGTGAATATTGTTTTTCCCGCTCAGTGGTATTCATTGAACACTTCTGTACTTTTAACACAGGAGATCTTAAGAAAGTTCATGGAAATGCTCATTATGAAAAAAACTGCACACATTTCAAAACATTCTTGTGCCAATATAAACATGCTTTAATTTTTCTCTGAACTTAAACATATCTAAAATTTATTTGAGAGATGTAGTGAAGATGATGTTCCTATATCCTTAACGCCTGCCACGGCTGAGGGGCTGAAGCCAAGTAGGACGCCGTGAGCCACTACTGCTGCTTCCTGGGCTCCTTGTTAGCAGGAAGCAGAACGGGTATAAGATCCCAGGTACTCTGATATCTTTTAAAATTCTGCTTTAAGGGGGACTTTGCTGTGGCATAGCCGGCTCATCTTTTGCCTGTGACACTGACATCCCCTATGGGCACTGGCTCATGTCCTAGCTGCTCTACTTCCAACCCAGTTCCCTTCTTATGGATTTGGAAAGCAGCAGAGTATGATCTAAATCCTTGGGTCTCTACATTCACATGGGAGACTCAGAAGAAGCTCCTGGCTTTGGATCGGCCCAGCTCCGTTTATCGAGTCCCCATAGTCAGTGAACAGCAGATGGTAGAACTTTGTCTCTTTTTTTGTGTCTGTGTGTAAAATTAAATAAATCTTTTAAAAAAATTCTGCTTTGGGCAAAGGGAGTTATCCTAGCAAATAAAATTGCTAGATACAGGAAAAAAATTTAAATTTTAGCATATAATTCCAGTTGGTTCTGTATGTGGATGTACTAATTTATGTTCCCACAGCTATACATGCAAGTAGTTGTTTGCGATTACTGCTGCCAACTCTGCATGTTTTAAACTTATGTCATCAAGTATCTCATCTTTCTTAATTTTCCTGGATATTAGTGGGATAGAGCATTTTTTCATATGTTTTTGGCTGTTTAGATACTGTTGATGAATATTGTATTTTCACTTGCATTGATATATTGTTGACATGTTAAGATTTGGGAGCCACCAAAATGTTGACATTAGCATGTTTTATTTTGAGAGTTTTCTAAGTTTTTATCTTCATCATTGTATTTGTTTTAAGGGCAGAGAGGCAGAGATAAGAAAAATATCCCATCCATTGATTTAATCCCCAGATGTCCATTGCGGCTTGTTCTGGTTTGCCAGGTGAAAGCTAGGAGCCTGTAACCCAGTGTGTAACCAGCCCATCGAGCCATCGCCTGTGGCCTCTCGGGCTACATCAGCAGGAAGCTGGGATTGGAAGCAGAGCCAGGACATGAACTCAGGCACTCCAATATGGGATGCAGGCATCCCAAGCAGCATCGTTAACTCCTGCACCAAATATTCACCCTAATTTCTAAATTTTTCACCTAGCCACCTTAGGAAGATTTTGCTAAAAGGATCTCAAAAGTTAGAAAAAAAAATCATTTAATTATCAGTTTGATTTGCATATTTGACTTTCCATTTTGGGATAATTGCCATGATTCAGGAATGGTGTTTGTAACAGACACAGTATAGTTCCAGGAGTCAGTACACTGAAGCCATTAGATGAGCAATTTGTCCTGTTGTGATGACCTTCCTATCTGCTGGAAGAGTGCAGGATATGTGATGAAGTGTTCACTCTGAAAATATAGCTGCTAAAATAGAATAGTAGACCTTAGGAACGCTGAAACTGTTAGCAAAGTTATACTTTTGAAGATCTGAGACCACTATAGTGAAAATTTGGGGGTAGATGAAGATAGAGTGGTTTGTTTTAAAGATATATATTTCTCAAACACTAGTGGTATGAGCATATCTTTAAACTTGAATCAAATAGCCCTGTAATTGTAAAGATTTTTAGAAGGAAGATGTTCTAAGAGAAAACAAAATTGGAAAATAAAAGCCCCTTTAGAAAATTCAGTTAATTTTCCTATATATTTATGTATACTTTTCATTTTAAAGATATTTGAATGTTTTAATCTGTTATTAAGCTCATGTAGCTTTAATTTTCTGGTGTGGAACAATTTGGAGTCAATGCAATTTACAAATAAAATGAAGACTTATTTACTTAGTGTTGTAAATAGATAGTTTCCAAAAATACCTTGTGAGTGGAAATGTCATTAATGGTTTATGTAGCATTATATCTTGTTCTTTTCTGCAGAGCTCTTCTTAAACCTCTTTTTGTTTGTAAATATTAAATTTCATTATTAGATATGTAACTTGGTTTGTGGACCAGTACAACTGAATAGGAAGCAGAGGCTCATTTGACATTATATATATTTTAAAAAAGGAGAAGATGATTTTAGAAAATGTAATAGTAACTTACTTTTGCAAAAATGTTTTTCAGTTCATCCAGAGCAGCTTCCTCCGAGGCCATGGATTACATTAAAAGAACGAGACCAAATTCTGCCATCAGGTGGTTCTTCTTCATCCTTCCTTTATTTGTGTCAGAAATACTTACATACCATTTGAGCTTCATGGTCTTTGTGTAGTAAGTCTTAGTTTGACCTACCATGGGTCGATGACTTTTAAAATACTGACGGATAGACTTAAAATTCATCTTAAGAAAGGCCTAGGTACAAGTGTCACAGTGATGTAGCTTTTGGTTTTAAAATTAGTCCTTGTAATACAGCTTTTGAAATGGCCTCTTACCGCAGAGACTTGGATGGTCTAAGAAAGATGAGTAACAATGAATATCTGGAAATTTTTAAACCATTTAGGCAAGGTTCCTTAGCAGAAGAATATGGGTGTTTAAGGAGGCAGCCTAGCCTGCTGCCTATTTTTCTTTCTTTATTTTCTAAATTAAAAATATTTGGAACAAAGCGTTTGTTTTAGTTTTGGAAATGTGGGAATTACAACTTTATGGTTTTGTGTATATTTTATTAGCATTGAAAAATACTATATGCAGTACATTTTGTTTCTTCTAGAGGAGATAATTTCAGAGCTAGCATAGTCTGCAAACCACAGTATTAGCCATTTTAAAAAGTGCAGTGTCAGTGTTACTGTGAATAATACTTAATTGTCAGGATGTGCATTGCTGGTCCAAATAAAAGGAATATTTTAGTCTTGCCTTTACCTGGAGTATAATCTAATTACTCCTCTGTGATACTAAAAGTACCATTTTCTAGTTCTTCTGAACAATTGCCTATTAGAGTAAACACAATCTTGAAGACTTTCCTAATATTGTATGGCAGCCTTCCTTCCCTTTAAGAAAAAGAACAATAGAAATGACTTTTCATTAGTTGCTAAATTCTAAAAGTGTGTATTGAAGAATTTTCTTGGGATGTAGGACTTTGAATTTTAGTGCTAAAGTACATATTGTTAAATATATACTTACTTGGTATACGTAGAGTGATGTTCATAATATGGATACCAGCTGGTGATAATTGTAAAGGATTTTAGCCAAATGGAGGGAATGATAAACTATGTAGGAATCAAGCCCATAGGGCGAAAAAGACCCCAGAGAGAAACAGAGCATGGAAAGTGGTGGTAGTAGTGACTTAGCTGATTTTGTTCTCTGGCATTGGCACTGACGAGGAAGAGTTGTGTAACCATAACCTCTGCCTTGTCTGTCTGGGACATATTCATGTCACAGAGGCTTAGGGAAAAAGTCAATGAGGCAAATTACCGTCTTGCTTCGTTTCCCTTTACTGTCAGAGGATGTTTCCATTCTGGAGAAGTAAACTGCGCCTGCTCACTTCAAAATGTGGTTTCTTGGGAATGGTTCTGGATCCTTTCCAAGATAAATAATCAGAATATCAATCACCTCACACTGAAATTTAGCCCCTAGGATGTACAATGGTCACCAGTCTGATTCCCAGGGGACCAGTGAACTCAGTTGCCGCGAATATCTTTCCAATCCTTTGAAATTGAACTGGCCCCAGTCAGTTGTTACTTCACCTTGTGTTTGTCACATGTTATTTATATAAATGATTCTCATCCATTTCTTCCTGTCAGTTCAAAGGTCTTTCTTTAAAAAAAAAAATGAATACCGAGCCTCTGATTCTGACTCAGTCTGGAATAATTTCCTTGGTGTCAGCAGTTTTTTTTTTTTTTTCTCCCTCATGTTCTCCAGAGTATTTCTGATGGGAAGTGAGAATAGGGTGTAAGTGAAGATTAGAATTCCTTTTCATGCCTTAATGTTCACGTGCCTATGAATCACCTGGGGATTTTGGTAAACTGCACCTCCTATTCAATAATTAACTTGTGGATCCAGAGATTCTGCATTTCTTTCAGGTTTTATGGTATATTTTGAGAGAAGGCAAACTTTGATAAATTAGCCTTGGAGTACATTTAGGCCAGAACATGGCAGTCAGAAACTAGAGATTCTGCACTTCAAATTTTGTACATGACATGCTGATGGTCCTTAAAGTATGCTTTTTGAGTAGAAAGGATAAAACCATGTTCTCTTGACTATTATTATGTTCACAGTCCTTTTATTGTTCAAGGCCATTATAAAGATCATTTGAGAGAGCACTGCCTCTACTCTCCAAAGTCCTGTAGTGTCGGGCACTGGGCCAGGTAGAAGGAGAACTCAGTCTGGTGTGTGGCAGGAACCCAGCCACCTGAACCCACATTCCGCTCTCTAAGGGTCTGCATTAGCTAGGCCAGAGGCTGGAGCCGGACTGAGGTTTTCTCATGATGGAAGGCATCTTAAGTTTGTGTCTTCACTGCTAGGCCAAATGCCTATGCTAGCTCAGAAGCACAGTAAGATGAGAATTTTGTTTCACAAATGAATATTTGATTGGCAAAAAGGATTCTCTTCTAACTTTATTGGTCTGTACTATTCCGGCTTACGGTAGTGACAGCACAAAACCCAAGAGTTTTTAGGTACTGTGTTAATAAAAAGTAATAGAGTTGGAGTCCTTTAATTAGAAAGAAACCAAAATGTACATGATTCCACTATACAGAAAAGCTTTTCTTGGCAAATTATGTACAAAAATTATCATGTAGATTTAAAATGAGTTTTTATTTCTTGGAAAAAAAAACCCTTATCTTTAACAAAAAATCTCAAGGGTAAATTGCATTCTTCTTCAGTCCATGAACTTTGATATGGCTGATTTAAAGTTTCAGTAGATACAGTGCTGTTTTAATTTTCCTCTAGTTGTTTATGGTAATTTTGAATTATGTATGTGTACTTGTATAGGTAAACACATGATAACTGCTTTAGAAAAAATTGCCTAATTTTCTCCCTGTTGTTTTTCTCCCACTTCTTAGCATCATTCACGGTTATGTGTTACAATGTGTTATGTGATAAATACGCCACGCGGCAGCTATATGGCTATTGCCCATCCTGGGCATTAAACTGGGAATACAGGAAAAAGGGAATTATGGAAGAAATTGTTAACTGTGACGCAGATATCATTAGTCTTCAGGTAACACTCTAGAAATTAAATTGTCTTTAACTTAAAGGTGAACTCAAAAATATTATCTTTCTCTGGGAGAGATACTGTCTTTGAAGTGAAATTCTAAATTAATTATTTTCTTCTCTTAAAAGAGGGACAAATTTAATAAGCATTTGGAACATTCCACAGTGAAACTGTTGCTTAGTACAACCATCCACTTAACATTAATTTGCTGTTCTCTAAAGTAAAAAATAATTTTAACCAAATTCATGTTAAGAGTTTATCCCATGAAGAAATCTTTGGTATTGCTAAAAGGGAAAGCTACAAATGATTGCCAAATCTTGAGAAATATAAATTTAATTTACAATAGAGTCCATTAAAAAAAAGCTTCCCAATAGTTGTTTGTTCTTTACAAATAAACATTTAAAATATGCCATAAGTCATGCATTTTTGTGTTTATAATCATCTTTGGAACTTCCTCATCTGTCTTTTAATTTTATTATAAAAACTGAAAGATCCTTTTATGAAATACATATCAAGTTTTTCAACATTTAGGGTAATAATTAAGTAAAGATTTATTGCCAGTTAAAAAACATTTTTTTTCTCAGCTACTTTCAAAGCATTCTAAAGTCTTAAAATTTTTTTCTAACATTTTTAATGGACAAATAAGAATTGCATATTTATGGAGATGTGTGATAGTTTAATATATATGTACATGTGGAATGATCACTTCAGGGTAGCTAACAAATCCATCATGCCAGTAACATATTTCTTAAAGATGTTTTAAATTATATGTTGAAATCTCACATGTTCTTTTGAACACAGCCTGCAAAAAAATTGTTTGAAGTTATTTTTTTGGATTAAAACAATGTGATAAATTATTTTTCTGTTGTTGGGAAATAACAAGAAGTAAACATGTTCAAAAGTTAAATGTTCTTCTGAACACCGACACAGAACTGGGAGGTGGGAGAAGCAAACAAAACTAGAGTGTTGTAGTTACTTGATTCTCCTTTTTGGTACAGTAGCAGCTTCACACTGTTCTAAGGAAAAAGACACAATTCAAGAAAGTTGATTTTCTGTATTAATGCCATATTTTAAAGTATTTATTTTAAAGAAGTTGAAGCTTGAGAGAAAGGACAAGGAATGATAAAGGAAAACAATCTCATTCCGTGTCTCACAGGTCCTTGTTACGTCAGAACCTCTACAGGCTTTTCTTCTGCGCATTTTCATGACAGCCAAGAGAAAATTGAGGTCCTGTTAGTGTATTTTTTTCTTATTAATTTTACTTAGTGTGCCATCTGTGTTACTAAAATTCTTGAAAACACATTAATTATGTGAATACATATTTAGCCTTTTCTGTATTGTTAGACTCTTAATTTTTATGAGCTTTTGCAAAATCACGTTGCCTTATGCATGTGTACACATTTTCCTCATATTTGACTCCTTTTGAAAAGTTTGTTTTAAAATATTTTGTGGGTCAGTGAATAAATTAACTTAATAATTACTAAATTAAGCTACCTTAAAGCAGGATGTTTTAGATGATAAATTTGTTTCTCACTCTTGGTTGCTAATCCTTTCCACCAAGGCTCAGAAGAATGAATAATTTTAAAATTTACCACCTTATATTTCAAAGTTACTGCTCTCTTACACTTAATCTGTCATATATTTAATTGTTTTGGTTAAGATGATTATAGTAGAATGGAGACCTAGCGTGCAGTCCTACTCCTGTCACAAACTAGCTGTGTAGGCATAAGACAGTTAAGTCACCTTTCTGGCACTCTGATGTTTAAAAAGTTACCATTGTCAAATGGCAGTCATTGGCAGTGAGGTAAGACGGCTTGACCAGCTGTTACATGAATTTATAATCATTTCAATGAAGCCTCTGATGATAATGAAAAATTTCATATCCCTGTTAAATTATACTCTGTTACATAGATGTTTACTTTTCTTTCATCTCAGGAAGTGGAAACAGAGCAATACTTCACTCTCTTTCTGCCTGCATTGAAGGAGCGTGGATATGATGGATTTTTTTCTCCAAAGTCACGTGCCAAAATCATGTCTGAGCAGGAGAGAAAGCATGTGGATGGTTGTGCAATATTCTTCAAAACAGAAAAGTGAGTTAAGGAAACAAAGTGCAAAAGTGTAAATGAATTCCTTTTATCGCATGTTTAAGATTGTCTTTGGTTTGATCCTATAAAATAACAAAAAGCTAGTGTGAAGTCAGAATATACTAACTTTTTCTAGTGTTTGGTAATGTCTTGTGAATCTTAGAAATAACAAATGTAATTTTCATAGTGTTTAACGTGCATCAGGTCTCCTCTAGTTACATGGATTATATTTAAGAGATGCTCTCAGGGATAAGTATACAGTTATTTCATCATCACAGCTCTGCTAATTAGTCCAGCATAATGCAGTAGCCTTTGTAGCCCATTCTTTTACGCACTGCAATAAACTGGATCTTAACGCTTCTTATTTGAGCTTTTATACAATCCCTTTGGATTTTTTTATGATCCCTCTGGAAAAATTGCCTTTAATTGTGTTCTCAACATTTATTGTTTATACAGAACTTTCTTTTGAAACACTTGAATTTTTATAAATGTATTAGCTGTTAGTAGCAGTGGGATTTCTGACATCAAACTCTTCCCAAGTATCATTGTTTCTTTCAAGATAATGTGTTTTTACCATGTCCCTCACAGTTTTGAGAGGAAAAATCAAATTTCTTAATGGTTTACTAGATGCAGGGAAGGACCGAAAATTATGAAGCTGTTATCTAGGATGCTTTAAATACTGGGTATTTGTACGAAATTATTAAAAATGCTTAATGATAGTTGAGAAATTAGTACATAGGATCTGATTGGATTCCTTTTCCTTCTCCTTTCCTCAGTTCTGTTTCTAAATAGTAACATCTTTCAACAGCACTCATGACTTCATGATACATTCTTACATTGTGCCTCCTCTGAATTTCTTTCCCCTTAAAACTATCTTCCTTCCTGGTACCAAATATTCATCCAAGTTACTTTTAAAATGCTCAATATCCAATGCTAAATGATTTGGAGTTTAACATAAAACACACTGCCCCACCTTTACTCTTTCTTTAGATTGACAAGATAATATGGCATAAAGACTAAAAATTTGAAGTTAGCTGGTGCTCTTACATTTATTTAGCTGTATAATCTTCCCGCCGCCCCCCAATATTTATCTGATTTTAAAGTCAGTGTTAGAGAGGGACAGACAGAGATCTTCCACTGGATCACTCTCTAAATGGCTGCAGCAACCAGAGCTGATCTAATCCTAAGCCAGGAGCCAGGAGCTTCTTCCAGATCTCCGATGTGGGTACAGGAACCCAAGGACCTGGGACATACTCTGCTGCTTTTCTGGGCCATTAACAGGGAGCTAGATCTGAAGTGGAGCACCTAGGACTCAGTCCAGCTCCCATAAAGGTACAGAGCTTTATGGATTAGCATGCACTGACCTAGCTGTATAACCTTACATGAGTTATTTATCCTTTCTGGACCCATTTCTTTATTTGTATATTCTTCCCACTTTTTGTGTGGTTTACAAAATTATATAGCAATAAAAGAATGACTCTCTCCTTACTCTTAGTCTTAGTCTTACTGTTTTAAAATCAAAGTGTTCGACAATTCTTAATCTTTTTTAAGTAGTTTTTGTTTTGGAAAGGAAGAATTAGAGATCTTCAATCTGCTGGTTCACTCCCCAAGTGGACGCAACAGCAAGAGCCAAGCTGGTCTGATTCCAGGAGCCAGGAGCTTCTTCCGGGTTGCCTAGGCAGTTGCAAGTTCCCGACACTGTGGAGCATCCAGGACATGAACTGGCGCCCATATAGGATCCTAGTGCATGCAAAGCATGAGGATTTAGCCATTCAGCTGTTGTGCCGGTCCCTAAGATTTTTCCATATTGTTTAGACTGAGTGACTTGAATTAATAACTGTAAGTTATAGACCAAGTCACTTTACTCAAAAAGAACATCTAAAGGAGTAGATGAATACCTCAGTATTTCAAAATATTACTGGAATGGAAGTCTGTAAAATAGAAAGGAGCAGAATGGAATACATCTCACTGTATTTGGGAGGAAAATGTAGGGAATGGTATGGTTAAGATGGCATGAATAGATTATGTCTGTTTCTTATGATAATGCTTTATGAACAAATATAAACATGGAAAGAAGGTAAACTATAGGAAATTGCATTGTCAGCCTTAATGGTGGAAGTCTCATCCTTTTACAACAGGAGTACTTGCAGAAATTCTTCAAATTCAAGAAATATAACTGTAGCCTTCATTAGTCCTAACTAGAAAAAAGGAACTTTCTGTGGTTTCTTAGTTATTAACTATCTTTTTGATTCTTTAGTTTTTGGTAAAACTGAAGTGATAAGAATTGAAAGTATGAGCCACTGTCCCTTTTAGACTTTGTAATACTCAAGGAAAGGAATGTTAGTTATGAAGAAATATTCATTTTACTTGGGAAGACTGGTTTTATGTTTTCTTGACTTGGAAACCAAAAACCATAGCAAGAAGATACCTTAGAAGATTTGGGAGCTTTCAGAATTGTTTTTCAAATGAGGAAAGGTTAATCAATCATGGCTGTACCCAAAGTGCGACTCCTGTCCTTTTTTAAATTTTATTTTGATAATCTTTACATATAGTTAATTAGGGCACAAAGGGTCAAGGGCTACAGGAAAGTGGGTAAGAGTAAAGTGGGTAAGACCATTGTTTTCACATTATTATTTTTTCTGTATCTGGGGTAAGGGGGGTGTAGATAAAGGGAGAAGCCCCACCCAGCCTCCCACCCATCCCAGGGTCTCCAATGTGAGGCATGCTCCGAGGGCACTGCACAAATGGTTTTGATAGTTCAGCTGTTCTGAATTGCTGCCAATCTTGCCACTACAAGCACGATGAAATCTCTCCAGAATCCACTGGCTGACAAAGTCAAAAAAAGCAGCTGAAACTTAAGAAGGCATTGGTTCATTTATGTTCAGTTTTAATGAATGCACCCTTAAATAATTTGACTTAATTCAAAGGAACAGCTGTCTATACATGGTGTGTCATAAGGAATTGGACGCATCATCTCTGGAAGACTCTGGGATGGAGAGCTTGCCATTTATTGCAGATACTTAAGCCGGTTCCACGTGAAAGAGAAATTAGTTTTATTTAATATTCTTTGAATTAAAAGATTGAGGTCTAGATTTAGTAGAAGAAATAAAGGTTGTTAGGTTGCTATTCCTCTCTTCTTCCTCAAAATAGTTGACTTTGGTAGAAACCTATCCTAGAGAATTAAGCTATCTTAAAATATAAAACTGTCCTAAAACATTAAAAAATTACTATTAAAAAAGATTTATTTATTTTTATTGGAAAGGCAGATATACAGAGAGAAGGAGAGACAGAGAAAGATCTTTTGTCCACTCAATCACTCCCCAAGTAGCTGCAATGCCCAAAGCTGAGCCACTACAAGGCCAGGAGTTGGGAGCTTCTTCCGGATCTCCCAAGTGGATGCAGGGTCCCAATGCCTTGGACCATCCTCTACTGCTTTCCCTGGCCACTAACAGAGACTGCATGGCAAGTGGAGCAGCTGGGACATGAACCTGGCACCCATATGGGATCCTGGTGCATGCAAGGTGAGGATTAGCCACTACACTATTGCGCCAGGCCCTAAAAATATTATTAAGCAGGGTATTTTAACCTCCTAAAGAACACTGTGTTGTTATAAATCAATCTTAGTAATACCAACTTTTATTTTTTGGGGAGCATGTGTTTCTGATGTGCTTAATTGACTTCTATCTGTGTGATCAGGATTGTTATTAATACTTTGTAACCAAGACAAAATAGAGAAGTAAATTGGATATGGAGACTGATAAGACTGTGTCAAATATACCTTCTTTTCTCTCTCTCTCTCTCTCTCTCTTTTTTTTTTATTCTCCAAAGCAGGTTATTTTCAGTAGTGTTTTTTCTTTTAACATAATGATGCTTTACCTGTTTCATACATGCGAATCTCACAGAAGTTGCTTAAAGATGATATTCCGTGGCTTGCAGATGTTTGAGAAGTCTGGAGGATAGTCACTCCTGTCTGCTAGAACAGATTTTGATATTGATGAATTATTTCTCTTGCTCTAAACCAGGACGCCATCATTTCTTCAAGCTTCAGACTCTTTTTAACTGGCTTCAGAATTCTGTCTCGGTCACTGTAATGTTTTCTACCAAGTAGCTTGTGTGATCTTAAAAAAAATGACAAACAATATTTGCTTGCTTAGAACTGTTAGTTGACCATTTTATCTCTGGCATCCTTTCACACCCTTTGCTTCCATTCTAACCTGCAACTTAAAGGTTCTTTACTTTCCCTGCTGCAGCTTCTGCCTCTTTGACTTGGAATGCTCATAATCCTACTCACTTTGGTAACTCTTGTCCTTCTTTGATTCAACTTTAAAGATCACCTCCTTACAGAAGGAAGAAATCAAACTATACTTCCTTTTTAAGTGCTCTGGGTTAGAAATAAGCCCAAGACTGATAAACAGGCTTGTTATATCAGGGCCATTGACACGTGTCAGCGCATCTGAGATACTCAGAATGGAATCCTAAGGCGAGTATCATTCCATATAGTGGACCATCTATCTAGTCAGCTTTTAGGATCATGGAAGACATGTCTATATGTCTTTCTTTTTTTTCCCCTAAAGATTTATTTGTTTTATGTAAGAGTCACAGAGAGATCAATCTTGTGTCTACTGGTTCATTCCCCAGATGGCTGCAGTTGCAAGAGCTAGGCTCATCTGAAACCAGAAGCTTCATCTGGGTCTCCTATATTGGTACAGGGACCCAAACACCTGAGCCATCTTTGACAGTTTTCCCAGGAGCATTAGCAGGGTCTAGAATGCAAATTGTGCAGCCAGGACACAAGCTGATGCCCAAACAGGATGCCAGCATTGCAGTAGGTGCATCAACTCCCTGTGCTACAGAGTTAGTTCCCAAGATATTAAAATTAGATAGAAGTTAAATGGCTTAAGACCACATTGCTATTATGTTTCTTGTTTGTTTTTGAGATGCAAAGTGAGAGAGCCAGTGAGCAAGCTAGCAAACTAATATACACTGGTTCACTTAGCAAATGTCTGGGACACCCTGGGCTGGACTATGCCAGGCCAGTCCAGGAACTTAATCTGTGTCTCCTAAGAGAATGTTAGGCCTCCAGTTATCCTTTGTTGTTTGTTTTTAATTTAAAAGCCAGGGATACAGAGAGAGGGCAAGAGAGAAGTATCTTCTGTCTGCTGCAAGTGGCCACAACAGTCTAGGTTGGCCAGGCTAAAGCTATGTGTCCATCCTGGTCTCACATATGGGTGTGCAGAGGCCCAAGTACTCGTGTGATCTTAAAAAAAACATTACAGTTGCTTTTCACAGGCTGTTATGATCAGGGAAATGAATTGGAAGTGCAGCAGCTGAGACTGAACAAATGCTCCTATGGGATACTGTTGTTGCTGGTGGAGGCGTAACACATTGTGCACAATATCAGGCCTAAGCTCAGGTACTTCAGTCGTTCCTGCTGCCTCGTAGGGTCTGCACAGGAAGCTGGCATTAATAGCTAAAGGCAAGTAGGGAACCTAAGGACTCCACTAGGGAGCATAGGCATCTCAGTCACTGGGTCAACTGCCTACCTGCACCCACACTTCTGTTGAATACCAGCACTGGGTTAGAGCTATTAAATCCTGCAGCTCTGCAATACTTAATAATTTGCCACAAGGAAATGCCATTGGTGTGAAAGCTGTCATCACAGAAAGAGCTATTTTCTCAACACAGAAAAGTTCGTGTTTCTGAAGTTAAGATTGTGTGTGCCTTTAAGTACCAGGAAATTCCAACAGCAAGTGAAACAAGTAGAAGAGTATTGTTTTTCATACAAAAAGTCAAGAAACAGACGGTTCAGAACTGGTTTGACTTTTTCCATCCATAGAAGGTTAGATTTTGCCTATGTTGTGTCTTACAAGGTTGTTGTTACTCCTCTAAGCACTAAGAGGAGGGGCAGAAGTGTAAAGGGATAAAGGAATTTGTATGCTTTTTGGCAGGTTTTTTTTTTCTTTGTAGATACCAGATTTCTTACATCTTATTAGGCAGAGCCTTATAACAGGAACAGTTGCAGCTAAAAAGTAAAAAGGAGACACTGGATACTATCTGTATCCTACGCTTCTTTATTTAATGTCTTTTAACATGGTAGTCCATGTATCTTAAATCATAATGCATTGTGCTTTTTAGATTTACATTGGTGCAAAAGCATACAGTTGAATTTAACCAAGTGGCAATGGCTAATTCAGATGGATCCGAAGCTATGCTGAACAGAGTGATGACAAAAGATAACATTGGTGTTGCTGTGGTATTAGAAGTCCATAAAGAACTTTTTGGAACAGGTGAGTACAATTTGACATGATTTTGCTACAAATAACAGTGAAATTTTCTCGTTTAAAACCATGTGAAGAAAATGAAGAAAGTTATGGGAGATGGACAGGGAAATAGTATTAATTGTGAAAGATGGAATGATTTCCTGGGATATGTGATGGTCTCTGTCATAGTGTTCCTACGAAGTGATGTGTATAAAGTATTTTTAATATGTTGTTACTTCCAAAAGATTCTTTGAAATAAGGAAGCTTGGGGTTGAGCTAAATTTAGATTGAGTTAGGATGACTTATTCTCTTTTGAGCCATATTTTCAGCTTTTGGAGTGTGAATCTTTTGTCTTTAAGGTTAAGTGCTTGGCATGTCTTCCATAATTTCTTTGTTTTATCTGTTATTGTAAGAGCAGGATCTTTTATCTACAGTTCTTCAGCATTTTAGATTATTTATAGCTACCTTCAGAGCAAAAAGTCATTATATTCTTTGCATTCAAACTTTCTTTAAAAAGCCTCTATTGCCTGCCTTTGAGCATTTTATCATTTATTAGTATATTTTAAGAAAGAGCAAGAAGGGGTAACTAAATCAGGGTTCCCCCACCTCCTCACTTTCTTTCAGAAGATTTTTGCCTTGAATGTTGATTTGAATTATTCATATGCATATAAATCATGCCTCCTTTTCTCATTCTTTAGCTTGCCCTTTAATTCTACAAGTCTTTGATGGGAGATTTTGAGTTTTTTTCCCTGTGATCTTTCTGCTTTTACATACTTTTATATCCTTTCCAATTCATTCTTCCCTTTTGTACTTTTTGTCCTAGTCTTGTGAAAATTGAATTTCTTTTGGAATTTTCCTTCAGATTTCCAAAAGATAAATTCTGCATTGTACTGCAAATACCTCTGCTTTCTGAAGTATGTGTCTCTTGTGCTCTTGAAGGGAAGTTTACTTATTAAGTACTTACGTCTCCTTTGAAGAGTCAAATTTTAAATATTCAATGCAGTGAACATGTATGTTTTACTGTTTATGGTCAAAAGTGATACTGTGAAACTTGTTTGTAAGAAAGGAAGACAGCTTAAAGGATTAGGACTACAGTTATTTTGTCTTAATATTTAATTTTAAGTGATGAGAGAGAAAGAGCAAGTGGACTTATTTCTTTGCCTGTTTGATCTCCCATCTACTAGTTCTGTCCCCAGCCTGCAACAGCCGGGGCTGGGCCAGGGGTGAAGTCATGATTGTGGAGAACTCCATCTGGGTCCCCCATGTGGGTGGCTGGGGCCTAAGAACTCAACATTGTTGTCCGCCACATCTCAGGGTTGCATTAATAGGAAGCTGGAGTGGAAGCAGAGATGCTGGGGCACAGACTGTCGCGCCCACGTGTCTTATCGCCCCGCAATAAGAGGCAGACGCGAGTGAAGCCTTCTGCGGTAAAATTTATTGTGCACACCAAGATGAGGAGGAAAGGGCTCCGACCCCAGCAGGCTGTCTGCTCTTATGTGCTGACTGGCCCCGCCTCCGCCGATGATAGGTCGGCGTCATGATTACGCAGGGTCCTGGGCGACTGGATTCGTCAGTCCCAGTGTTCATGCGCCAGCCACGCCGCAGCTGACTGCGCATGCGCAGTACCGCGAAGGCTACGTGACTCTCCACCAGACACCAAGATGTAGCCTCTCTGGCCGGCGCCATTTTGGGTACGGCATGTGGGCAGTACATACAGATGCGGCTGGCAACAACAAACCAGTACTCCACTTTGGGAAATGAGTATCCCAGGAGGCACCTAACTGTACTGTTTCACCTATCCCTGCAAAACTGTGTCACCTACTCTTTATAGCTATTCATCTTATGATCAGATTGCTTTAAAATGATTACTTCCAATGCTTTTCTTAGGCCCTTAGCAGAAAGCTGGAGGGGAAATGGAGAAATGGAGACACAAATTGGTACTCAAATAGGATGCTGGCATTCCAGGCCACAACACCAGACACAGTTTCCATAGCTTTTAATGTATTATCCATCTGTTATTTGGAAGGTTTCATGTTAATGTTTATTTTGACAGGATTTTTTAATAGAAGAATTTTTGGAGGAAAAACAATCTTAAGATTATCTAGAGGAATATCTGTTTTTCTGAACCAAGCCCAATGTGTTACTGATCAGGGGAACAAAGTAATTAGTAATAATGTCAGGTGTAAAACTCAAGTGTCTAGACTTTGGGAACATGCTACTCCTTGTTTCTTAGTTTAAAAAATTTTTTGTTTGTTTGTACCCGGCATGATGGCTTGGTGGCTAAATCCTCACCTTGCATGCACCAGGATCCCATATGGGTGCCAGGTTCATGTCCCAGTTGCTCCATTTCCCATGTAGTCTCTGCTTGTGGCCAGGAAAAGCAGTAGAGGATGGTCCAAGGCATTGGGACCCTGTGTCTCCTTGGGAGACCCGGAAGAGGCTCCTGACTCCTGGCCTCAGATTGGCTCAGCTCTGGGCATTGCAGCTACTTGGGGAGTGATTGAGTGGACAAAAGATCTTTCTCTCTGTCTCTTCTTCTCTTTGTATATCTGCCTTTCCAATAAAAATAAGCCTTTAAAAATACCTTTTTTTGTTTGACGTGGAAGGCCTTTATGATGAAAATTACAGAATGTTAAGAAAACACAAATAGAATACATTAAAAAGTAGGGAAATTTACCATGTTCCTAGATTGGTAGAATCAACATAATCAAAATGTCCATATTACCAAAAGTAATATACAGATTCAGTGTGATCCCAATAAAAATCCCAAAAACATTCTTCTCAGAAATAGAAAAAATGTTGCAAAAATTTGGAAGTACAAGAGACCGTGAATAGCCAAAGCTATTCTGAAGAATAAAAATAAAGCTCGAGAAATCACAGTTTGACTTCAAGACATACCACAGAGCAATGGTAATCAAAACAGTTTGGTACTGGTACAGAAACAGGGAAGACCAACGGAACAGAATAGAAATACCAGAAGGGAGACCACACAGGTACAGACAACTAACGTTCAACAAGAGAGCTAAAAATAATCCAAAGAAAAAGTCTGGTCTCTTCAACAAATGCTGTTGGGACAGTTGGATAGCGGGTTGGAGAAGAAATAAGATTTCACCTGTCACCGTATAGGAAATAAAAGAAGCTCTAAATGGATCAGGGACCTAAATCTGTACCCAGAAACCATCAAACTGTTAGAGGAAAACAGGAAGCACTCACCAAAATATAGGAATTGAGAAAGACTTCTTAGAAAAATCAGCAAAATCACAGCAGTCAAAGCCAAAATAAACTAATGGGACTGCATGAAACTAAGGTGCTTCAGTACAGTGAAGGGAAATGATCAACAAAAGTGAAAGGCAACAGAATGGGAGAAAGTCTTTGTACACTGCACAACGGATATGAGATGAATATCCAGGATTTACAAAGAGTTTCAGAAACTCAACAATTGCAAAACAAACAACACTATAGCGCCATTGTGGCCACTTGGGGAGTGAGCCATTGGACAGAAGATTTTCCTTTCTGTCTCTCCTCTCCATATCTGCCTCCCCCCACTCTTCACCCCCACCCCCCAAAAAGGAATGGCTAAAGAAACTGATACATTAATTTATTGAATACTACCCAGCCATTAAAAAGAATGAAATTCCACTATTTGCAACCAAAAAGGAAAAATATATGTTCTATCTGATATAAGACAAGCGTCATGCAAAATACAAGGTCAGTAGATATGTAGGTAACATGCATGTACGTATAGTCCTCTGGAGGAAGTTTAAAATAAAGATTGCCATATTGAGATGTGAAGATAAAATTCAGTATGCATTTGTACTTCCAAATCAAAGGAACTCCCAATGAAACTGTTAAATGTATCTTGACAATAGGATGTTGGACTTTCTACCATTGTTATACCTACAATGTCATGTTACACTTAAATAGAATGATGGACTTGTGATTGTTGTTGAAAGGCTGTACTTTTGTAATAATTTGGGAGGAAATAATAGAAGAGGAATGGGTAGGAGATGGAAAGGAGAATCCTTGTACCTCTGGAACCATATTAAGAGAAAGAGAGAGACTGTATTTATCTATCCCCCCCCAAAAAAGCCTGAAACTGCTGGGGTTCTGTTAGTTCATAGCCAAGAAACTGAATTCTTAAGTGTTCCAGATAGGGACCCAGTAATTGAGCCATCGCCTGCAGCCTCTCTGGGTGTGCCTTAGTGCCTCAGCAGGCACTTGGAGTTGAGATTAGACCAAACCTGAGGCCCAGGCACTCCAACACAGCATACTGCTGCTCCAAGTGACATACTAGTATGCCAAATGCCCCCTCCTCCATCCTCTAATTCTCATTTTAAAGATAACATTTTTTTTAAAGATTTATTTTATTTTTATTGGAACGGCGGATATACAGAGAGGAGAGACAGAGAGGAAGATCTTCCGTCTGATGTTTCACTCCCGAAGTGAGCGCAACGGCCGATGCTATGCCGGTCCAAAGCCAGGAGCCTCTTCCGGGTCTCCCACGCGGGTGCAGGTTCCCAAAGCTTTGGGCCGTCCTCAACTGCTTTTCTGGGCCACAGGCAGGGAGCTGGAAGGGAAGTGGGGCCGCCGGGATTAGAACCGGCGCCCATATGGGATCCCGGGCGTGCAAGGCGAGGACCTTAACCACTGCGCCACCGCACCGGGCCCTAAAAATAACATTTTTGAATGTATGGTGTTACTCTGATAGGTAGCAAATTCCTTTGTTTGGTTTTGCATGGGTTACTGTCTTACCACTTTCTACTAGTGACCTGTTACTGTTGTGCTCTAGAATTCTTGGTGAATCAATATAGACCAGTGGGAAGGATTTAAATTAAGTCTTAAGAAACACATGTAACTGAAAATTGCCTCTCTGACTTATTGTGATATTTAAATTGCTGAAATAATTAAGAACTTTTTTAAGATAGGAACTCAGGAAAATGCAATGACTGATCAGACACTGTATCATCTTGTTGTGTGCTGTGTAGAGTGGGGTCAGTGGCTTTCTGTTACAGGCTGGTTAGGAAGGACTTTAGGCTCTTTGGGACACATGGTCTCACTCACACTTGTTTTGGGGGATAATAAAGCTCCAAAGGTGTAAAATTATCCTTCAGTCTTACTGGCTGTACAGAAACATGTGGCAGTCCACATTTAGCCATGGGTATTGTTTGCTAAATTGGTCTAAAAGAGTAATTTCCATATTAAATGATCAAAACTTTAACTTATAGCTTTATGAAATTAAAAAAAACAGGTATACATTTATGGAAAAGAGCAACAAAATGATATTTTGACGAAACACCTTAAGATACCACTTTTCCTAAATAAAGCATAAGTTTACCTCTTTTTTTTTGTAATATTTAAATTTAGGTATGAAGCCAATTCATGCTGCAGACAAACAGCTGCTTATTGTGGCCAACGCCCACATGCATTGGGACCCAGAGTACTCTGATGTGAAACTCATCCAGACCATGATGTTTGTCTCAGAGGTTAAAAACATCCTGGAGAAGGCTTCGAGCAGGCCTGGCAGCCCAACCACAGACCCTAATTCTATTCCGCTGGTGCTATGTGCAGATCTGAACTCATTGCCAGATTCAGGTATTTAGAACATTATTGTGTCGTTGCTTTTAATTTTGATTTCACTGTTTGTTCAAGCCATTAGTTCTTAGATCTTTATGATTTCTAAATTAGGAAGCATATTAGTGAAAATTTCAGTAATGAAGCTTGGAGTAATTCAACAAATTTAAACAAAAAAGCTGTTTCCAAAGATATGGGCAGAACAAAGGGATACAAAGCGGTGGATGATGCAGTGTCCTGTTAGTGGAGTTAGGGTCTTTACCACCTCAACAAGAAACTGACAGAGCATCAGAATGTGGACACATTTTTCTGTATTATTATTATTTTTTAATTTTGATTATCTTTACATAATTGATTAGGGACAAAGGGTCAAGGGCTACTGGAAAGTGGGTAAGACCATTGTTTCCACATTCTCATTTTTTTCCTGTGTCTGGGAAAAGCGGGCAGATAAAGTGAGAAGCCCCATCCAGCCCCGATGTGGTGCATGTTTTCAGGGCATTGCTCAAGTGATTTTGATAGTTCACCTCTTCTGAATTACTGCTAGTCTTGCCATTCCAGGCACGATGAAATCTCTCCAGAATCTATTGGCTGGCATAGTCCATCTTAGAGTCTCCGTTTGCTCAGAGTTTCACTGCCAACACTTGACTGGGGTAGTTGATTGATTTGTTCTGTCCTTCATCCTCTGTTGTGTTACCAGTTATCCTCTGCAAGTTCCAGTATACTACCACATCTCCATGTGCACCTGGATATGCTGTCCACTGCTCCGTCTGAGCCACTGAGGCAGCTCAGCTTTGACACACGCACTCCTTGGTTAGACCGTGGAACCTGCAATTCTCTTTCTGGTTGGGGTTCTGAATCTGGCAGTTTGATTGGGAGGACACCCAAAGGAACTTTGTCTGAGGTGATCCCAGACCAGAGTCTTGGGTGTGCTTGCTGGTACAGGGTCAGGCACAGTTTGTAGACCCAATCAATTTATGCATATGCTGGTGGTTGCAATTGTTGAGTCAGTTCTTCCTCCAGTGCTATCTTATACACGAACCAATAGGTATTGCAGTCGATCCCAATCCTGCCTACCACACGCTCAGCTCTCATGCAAACCAGTGGGAGCTGCACCCTAGTCAGAGCGACCTGCAATAATCCCCACCAGGGCCGCCTCACCCCCTGGTTCCCATGCTTGCCACTATGTATAGCAGATTTGTCCAGTCTGCCCCACCTCCCATTCAGCTCTCATACATGTCATTGGGCATTGAAGCCTAGTTCAACCCAACCAGCCCCGCTGTCCAGCCCACATACCTGCCAAGAGGCACCACTCTCTGTCTAGCCATGCCTGCCCCAGTCCTGGTTCTTATGCTCACTGGTCGAAGAGGCAATCCAGGATGGAGGTGTCCACTGTTTCCCTACTGGACCCACTCTCACTCCTGGATCATGAACTCTCTCCAGGTGGTTCTGCAGTTTGGCATGACATAATTAGCTCCCAGTGCCAGTATCTGCCAGCTGATGCGCGACAGAGCCCTGCCAACCCACACCCACTCTAACGTTTGCTTGCACCAGTAGGAACAATGAGCCCAGCCTGACTTTCCTGATCTAGCTCACTTGATGCTGACAGGTGTTGTAACCCTGGCCAGTCTGGTCTGCCCCATCCCAACTCATGCTCTCCAATGGGAGTGTTGCTCCGGCAGGGGAGCCCTCCATATTGCCCCTACCAGCTTTGCTTCCTCCCTTCACCCCCGGTTCTTACTGTGCTACTTGGGTACTGTGGCCCAGTCTGGCATGGTCTGTCTTGCCTCGGCTGTTTAGAGTGGATCTTACATTGTAGGAAGATTGGCTTGAACTTACTAATGTAATCCCTGCCACACTAGTAAGAAGGGATCTGGCTGGGGAACATGCCAGTATGTGTATACTCACCCTGCTCCTATCCTCTGATCTTCTCCCAGTGCTGCCCACTGACCAAATCCAACTAGAATCTTCAAGGGGAAGTTGATGCAGTAAATACCATCCCCCTAACACACAGAGTAGAATGGAGAATGGTGTTCTGAAGGGGCAACGGGAAAATACTCAGCACAGGTAGTTATTTGGTTGAGTAAACTGGCAGTTTCCAGTGGATTCATGAAATTTTAGGTATAGAAGAATGATTAGAATTCCTACTGTTTGCAAAAAAATCAGCTCTGCATTTTAGGTATTAAATTCCAGATGTAAAATATTAAATTGTTCTTTTGCCATTTGCCAAGGCATATTCCAGATTGGTGTGTTTTCACTGTTAGTCTGAAGTTATTTAAAATAATCTCTCAAGAATAAATATAACCACATTTTCATGCTTGGAATATGCAAAAACAAGTCCTACCCCCCAAATAAGATTTCTCTCCTTAGCAAATAAGAGCGCAAACTGTTGTTTTCAAATGTTTATCTTCAACTTCCTGCCCTGGTTGGCTTCTTATCTTTCCCTCTTAATCCTTCAGTTGCCTTGCTCCCAAATGCAGATATTCTTCATATTTAATTTGACTTGAGTAAAATAGGTGTCATTTGGCAGAACAGCATGTGAGTGAACTGATCTGGAGCCAGTCAAGACTGGATCCTGGTTCTAACAGTTATGAGCTGGGGCATCTGTGATTGAGCCCACTCCCTCCCCATGTCTCATAAGCCTAAGGGAATGATAATTCTATTCTCTCCATGGAGTTGTTTGTGAGGATTCTATGTGCAGTGTACTTACAACAGCTTCCAGCATGAAGTAAATGTTGAATGATAGCGCCTCTTGAATTTATTCATAATATTGGCATTGCACTTATATCTCACTATGCTTTGCTATCATTCTTGATCACAAATTAAAAAAAAAAGATGATCTAACAGTAGCCATAATCATCATCATAAGAAGGGTTGTGAGACCTTTTTCATATTCACTGCAGTGGAAATAGTGTACTCATTTTTTAGAGAACCCCAGTATTTTTGCTAAATGGTATAACTGGTTTATGACATTATGTAGTTTTAGACTAAAAACAATCACTCTGGGCTCAAAATAACATTGTCTAGTTGCTGAACGATTAAAGTTACAAAATATGCTTTTTTATAAATTTTTAAATTTTTTGTGCTGTATTTATATGTTCCCAGTTTGTCGGTTGACCAGTACAATGGGGAAAAAATGACAGTGATTTAGAATTAATATTCAAAAGGCATTTAGAATCAAAACCTTTGTGGTGAATGTCATGCAGGTCTAAGAAAACATCCTCAGTATGAAGAAAACAAGCTGGTTCTAGGTAATCCTGATATTTTGTTCCAAAGTAAACAAATACTCTTCGATTCGTCAGAATCATACAAAATTGCTTATATTTAGGTGTGTGTGTGTTTGTTTGTGTTTTGGAACAAGAAAGAAGACAGTTTCATGTGACTCAACCTGATACAACCCCCTGAATCTGGTACATCCGTGTGGTAACAAACCTTGCCTGTGAAATCTCGTGTGAGGCCCTTATGCTGAGTGCTGTGTCCTTTCTGTGTTAATTCGATAGGTGTTGTGGAGTATTTAAGTAATGGAGGAGTAGCTGACAACCATAAAGACTTCAAGGAATTAAGGTACAACGAGTGTCTTATGAACTTCAGCTGCAACGGAAAGAATGGAAGCTCAGAAGGGAGAATCACACATGGCTTCCAACTGAAGAGCGCCTATGAAAATAACTTGATGCCTTACACCAATTACACCTTTGATTTCAAAGTGAGTGGCAGCCTCCAGGCTGATGGGGAAAGTACATATAAACATGTAGGAAGCAAGAAAAGTGTTCTGTGTGTGCCAGAGAGAGAGATTAATTGTGTAATCACAAAGATTTTATGCCCATGTATACATGCTAGTATTTTTCCAGTTGATGGAACAGTCTAGTTTTAAAAAAAGAAACAAAAGATTTTACTTTTTTTTTTTCCAAATAATGAAGCTGGAGCACCTGTTGTGTGGTCCCAGGTGTTCTTTAGAAAGATTGATTTTGTTGATTTTCTGTAGTCTAGTCTATTTTCTTTTGCCGATTTGGCAGTGTTGTGATACAGCTTATATACTTGTGACTCCTTATACTGTACCTCCGTTGAGCTTTCTGGCATTCTGGCAGCCATATTCAAATATTAACTCTACTGAAAAAAAAAAAAAAAGGATATGAGAAAGATGTTTGGTTTAAGAAACCTAGAGAGAATTTAGTAAAATACCAAATGACATTTATGCAATGGACTCTCATGTCCCTAATAACTTTTCCTGTTTTTAGTGTTAGCTCCTTTTAAAGAAGCAAATAGGAGGAAGAATGGAAATTTATCTATTGATGCTATTAGCTTTTGTAGTTATGCAAAACATTGCTTAGAAGTTGAATCTGGCTTAGGCTTGCTGTTAGAGGTTGTTAGAAGCTGCTTCTATGAATAGTTTCATTTTGTTCTAACCACTTGCAAGCAGTAATCTGTTGGGAAATTGCCACCTTACTTGGAAAAGAAGTCCTGATTTGTTTTGCTGACTAATTTTTGTGATTTAAGTACTTGGATAGCAGCCGTTTCCAAACTCCCACTTGCATTCAGAGTTGGGAAGAGGTGCTAAGACAGCTGGTCTTATCAGTTGTTCACAAGACTGCTACACCTCCGCTGGGGTAGAGGCACGTCTCTACTGTAAATAGCTACTGTGTTTTTGTTTGGGTTTGGGCTCTCTGGATTTGCATGGGGAATAAATTTGAGTTGATTTTCATGGATACACAGGTCATCTGAGACTGTAAACCCAGCTTATTTTGTTGGTGTTCTTTTAAAATACACTGCTTTATTTTGAGATACTGATATTTGATATTGCTACTAAACTCCAGGAAATAGTAGTTGAGGGAGGTGTGATTTGCTTCATTTTCTTTATGCTGCAAGGAAGCCCAGATTTCACAGTATCCTAGAGCTTGTGAAAATGAGTATTTTAAATTAAAGTACATGTTAGAATGGGTAACTTTTTGTACTATTTTGTAGATTTGTAATAAATGTGAAAACATGCTTTGCCATGATTTCATTCAGATATGGTTGGCTGCATGCAGAAGTTGAAAACGAAGCCAACAGCATTGAAGAAAATAATTTGATTTTTCATGAACTATGTGGACATTTATGTAAATATCTTTATTTTCTGAAGATTCCTAGACATAATTTCCTATATTTAGCTTCTCAGTTTATTACTGATGCACAAATGCAAGTTATATTGATTTCAGTATGGTGCTGTTTCCCTATTGAAGTATCTTTATTTCATACAATATTCACTGAAGATGAGAGGTTTAGTTGAGCCGCTGCCAGGACAACAGATACCAGAAGTCAGAAGTGCAGGTTACACAGTGATTTGGCTTTGACAGACTCTAGACTGTTGGTTATGTGTCTTGATGTTTTCCTTTTTTCTTTCCCAATCCCCACTCTCTGCAGGGCGTGATTGACTACATTTTCTATTCCAAGACTCATATGAACGTACTTGGTGTCCTGGGGCCTTTAGATCCTCAATGGCTGGTTGAGAACAACATCACTGGGTGTCCACACCCTCACATCCCTTCAGACCACTTCTCACTGTTAACACAACTTGAACTCCACCCTCCACTCCTGCCTCTTGTCAATGGTGTTCACTTACCGAGTCGGAGGTAGTGGAGTACTGCCCCGCAGAGACGGGGATCTGTTGCTATGGACCTGTACAGTTGTAAATCAAAGTATGTAGGAGTGAAGTATGGCCATCCTTAAGCTGCTTCTTCAGGTTCCTTTCATTATGTGTTTGCTATAAAACTTTGTACATTTTGTGCATATTGATATCATTTGGCACTAGGGCTGGAACCAAAGTATTACTCTTTCCAAATTTTAATTTAAATGTTTTTAAATTAGACCTTCTTACTGTATTAGCAGACAACATCCATAATTTTTAAAGCACCAGGTTGAGGCCCAACAACAGGGTATTTGTTTTTCCAAGACAGATACTTTCTTTGGAATGGTTTCATGAACCAACCAATTTTGTAAAGGGAAATTTTTTAATACTATAGATACAAGATTTTAAACTGAATGATAGTATGTCTTGCTGGGAATTTTTATTCTTGAATTTCTGTGTTCTTTTATAACAGGCTGATTTTTTTGCTCACCAAATCATTTGCACCTTAGCAAAGCACTTAAATTTGCTTGATCTATACATAACCCATGACATAGCCTCTAATCATAACAAAAAAATTTTGAGAAATTACAAATTATACAGTATGCTTTTGGATCAAGCATTTAATAGCACATGACAGTTTGTGGCCAAATGCTGTTTCTTTTTTTAATTAATTTATTTTTTGTGTCTCCCTATTAGTTTGTTGTCTTAATAGAAGTATTGATTCTAAGCCTGTCTTTCCAGTTTATGTAGAGGGGAACCGCAGGTAATTTATACTGCCACACGTCTTAGAAATAGAATTCAGTATGTTTATGATGCCCACAAAATTAGTGTCTGTTATTTTTCATGACTCCCAACTACCCTATTCTGCCTAGCATAATTGGAATTACATATTATCTAGGTTTTGCCATTACAGTCATATATTAAAAAACAAAAAGCCACTGCTAAATAAAAATTCCCTGATCAAAGAATGAAAGTTTTAGAGGGGAAAGCCATACAAATGTTTCACTTGATTCCCAAAGTAGATTGAGTTGTTGATTTTGGTTTTTTGGGAGTAACTATGGAAAGGATTTGAGAGGCAGAAAAATTTGAGGCAGTAGATGAAAATCTCAGATCATTTTTCCTAACTCTAGCTGCCAAATGGCCATCATATGCTTTTAGTCTTTGTTTCCATTGTCTGTCAGGGTTGAATTAAGAAGCTACTGGTTTATTCCCAACTGTTGATGCCGTTAAATATGTTGGAATCCCTTTCTGGCCCAGGAATAGCCAGCTGAAAATCTGTGACTCGAGGCAATGAACCTTTTGGGGGAAAAATTAGTTGGCTACTTGATGTTAATTATGGCACAGTAACAGGAAAAGGTTGTGTCTGTGTTTTTAAGTTTTTCTTTATTCTGCTTTTTTGCTGCTATAAGAGTTTTCTGAAATTTATATTTTAAACTTTTCATGCACTTTACTGTTTCTAGTCTCAAAATGTGATATTTTTAATAAACAAGAAATTTTCCATTATGTGAATGAAATTTTAAAAGAAAATAGCCTATATTTGTGTTTCACTAATATATAAAGTACAGGTCAAATTTAAATTATTTAATTTGTTTTAAATATGTACAATTTGTCTCCTCTTACAAACCTGAAAATTTAGGCTGTTTTATTAGACTTAAATGATGCATTTCCCTTGGTCATTTTTCTACTAATTTCTTCCTTAGTAAATTAATCAGGCTACATAAGATATTTCCCCTGAAGAGTAATTTTAGTGGGTTGAGGGTGGTGGGATGATGCATTACCATATATGGGATTGCATCAGGAGGGTTCTGGAAAGCCTAAACTCCCCTTTAAAAGTGCCTAGTGATAGAGGCGTTGTTTGTCATCTATTTATAATTGGAATGTAATTGTAGTTCACTGAAGTTCAATGTAAATATCCTTTTAAAAATGTTAAAGGACCAGAATAAACAAAGGAACAACCTTTAAGATGACAGATTTTCCTCAGCGTGCAGGTATCCCTTCTTATATACCTCAAGCATCCAACATCTAGCCATGCAAATTGATTACCTAAAGCATAGTACTGGAAAGTAGAATAGCATGAAAAACTTAATCTTGTGGACATTACCTTTTTTTGTAATCAGCTACTGTATGTTTTATTTTAGGTCTTTTTTTGTGGGTGGATTTTCTGCTCTGGAGGTATATGCACTAACAAAACATTTTCCTCCTTTCATATACGCATGTTTATTAGCAATGTGAGCAATATTTCCTACCATACTTCACTCCCAATATTTTTTGAGATGTTTGTATAAAATGGAATTTAAAATTCACTTATGATTGTATATGAACCACAGAGGAGCCCATTTATTAATAAAAAAACTTTTTTAATAGTTAAATGTAGAGGGGAAAAATAAAAAATTGGGAAACATTGTACACAGCTTAAGTTTATTTTGTGTATGATTGAGGCACTCTGTTGCAGGAAGGTGTGTAATTGGGTTCTCTCTGCTTCCAAATGCACTCTTTCAAACCATTCATTATCCTGTGTATTTTTAATGTGGTTTTAGTAAATGTTGGTAGTAGCTCTGTTGAAGTAGGCAATTGTTATGTTTTAGGTGGCACACACACTTGGGGCATGGTAACCCAAATTTCATGTGCACGGTTTCCCTTGAGCCCACTGCCCAAGTTTCACACCCCCTTCACCCTTTGTTCCCTTTGTAAAAGGAGTGGTATCTGTTTTGAGCTGCCAATTCAGATGATCAGAAATGCTGCTCTCCTCAGCATTGTCTTGTTAAAATGCATGCCATTTGGAACTTTGGCAGTGAGAAGCCAAAAGAAAGAGGTGAATGACATACGATTTATATTCAGTGGAAGTTAAATATATGTGTTCATATACTTTCTAGCTCTCAGAATTTAAGTTAATAAGCTTTATGCCATTGGGCTGCTGCATATTTTATCTGAAGATAAAAGAAAATTGGGGCATTTTTAGATTGTGATCCTTTTTTTTAAAATCCATATAATTTCTGATATTTGTCTAAGAACTGGAGTGTTCTTTAAATTTATTAAAACAGTGTTGTGTGAGGAAGGAAAAACTGCACTGTTTGCGTTACGGCAGTCATATAAATGCATGTCAAGTCACCCACTCTCAGGCATCAGTATCCGCCTCATAGCTTTACACATTTGGACGGGGAATATTGCAGCATCCTCAGGACTGACATCTGGGAAAGGCTCAAATCCTCCTACTGCTCCTTGCTTGTTGACTTTGTTTTCAAATATTGTGCCTGGTGTCAACTTTTAAGCAACAGCACTGCCTAAAAGCAAGCAGAGAACAGAATCCCAGCACCATTCTATAGGCAACTTTTTAGAACTCAGATATAGTGAATCTGTTCAAGATTTATGATGTTTTATGTAAAAAAAAAATTTTGTACAACATAGCTGAATATTTTTGTTTCATTTCTTTGATGTGAGGCGTGTGAAAGTTTGTCTGAATATCACATGTTGAAGTCAGGTATGGCACAATGGGTTCTGAGACCAGCTTTCTACCCCTCCCCCATTTGCCTTGTTCCATACTCTTTGTTTTCAAGTTTTTTTTTTCTGGTATTCATAAGCAGATATTTAATTTTACTAATAAGCATCCTATGTGAATGTATTGAAAGAAGCCACTTGTGTTTTTGGTGTTACAGTTTGCAGAAATATAAAGCTGTTTCCTTGCTGCCCCTACTTTTTTTGTCGTCTTAAAGTTACATATTAAATCACAGACAAGCAAGGGAGAAAGTAGAAATATATCTGAGTCTCATATCACTTGATTCTATGATAGGTCACATTGGCATTGAGAGTTTGGCATATTAAAACTGGAACATGAGCAAACACATGGTGTTCCATTTTAAGATTCTGTCTCCTAAATATGTATTATTATTAATGTGTGAAACTCAGATTTGTATTTTCATTTCTGAGAATTTCTAAACATGAATGCCATCTGTACTTTCCATATCCAACAACAGAGTAGAGAAAGCACAAGGACGAAGAACACATTACATGTGGGAAGGAACCAGACATAGGGCTTGTCCTTCTTAATACAATGCTGGATTTCTAAGTGATAGAAGTGGATTGTGTCCCAGTATTTGTAGGCTTTTATGTTCTGACATACTTGATAAGCTTTGCAGAGTATGCTGACTGATGAGCAGCTTTGATCACAGAAAAATCAGTTACTGCTACAATCACGGTTTTCTAGCAGGCAAAGACTTTAGGGTACATTTTCAAAAGAGCATTCATACATACTTACATTTTGACAGAAATGTGAATTCTCACATTTGTAAGGTTTTTCCGTCTCCCACCCGTCTTTCCCTTTAGAAAACTTGTTTACTGGTTTTAAAACTACAATGTGAATTGTAGGATGACAAATTAGGAATGTGAGGATTCCAAGCCAGGAATTTCAGTTAAAAATTTGAAATTTTCAGACAAATGAAACTGTTCTGCTTCTGATTATTTTGTGTGATTTTAGTTTTGTGATAGTATCATGATCACCCAGTTTAAATTCAAGCATTAGTAAGTTAGTACATCTTTACCCTTGCTTGTTTACCAAAGTTGGATTGTGATCTGTTTAAGAACAGGGTGCCTAGAGCATCCTGCATTTTGTAGAATGATACTTTTTTTTTGTGAAAGTACTGTCTAAAGCTTAAATGTTACAAAAGAAATAAAGCCCTTACATATGTACTGCAGAATGTTTTGAGTAGCAGAAAGATTAAAAAGAAAAATACAAAAAAAAAAACCCAGTTATTTCAGGAAGGTGATCAGGGGGTGCAGGTACAGTTGTTTTAACCAAATACCTTCTTTATGTTCGCTTCTCTGTTAAAGCACAAGGGAGATGGCAGGAAACACATTGTTAACCCACTTAGTAATTGCCTTTTCTGTAAGTTTAGTTGAACTTGAGAGTCTTGCAACCAAAGGAAAACAAACATGTTGAAGTAATATTCAACAAACGGGATGTCCAAGTAGTGTATTATTTTAGTTCACTTTCAAAGTCTATGAAATAAAGACATTAGGTATTGATTTCTTACTATGCCATGTCATATGAACTGTAGCACTGAACTGAAATTAAGTATGGCATCAGAAATAAATCACATGAAAAGGATTTGCACATGTCAGGGAATAGGACTCCTTGGCGTGGTCGCATGGTCTAGTCAGCTTTCAGAGCCCTTCAGAAGGCACAGTTTGGTACTTAGTACAAGTTATTTATAACAGTCTCTTCAAATTTAGGTAATGTTCCTTTTTGATGTTACTTTAAAAGAATCATGGTAACCCTCTTAAAAGTTGTCCCTTCTTGTTTTGGATTATGGATATATTTTCTTTTCAGTTTTCAATTGTTGTATGTACCACAACTGTTTAATCTGCCTGTAGTTATCTGAACCCAGAAAATTAACTCCATGTTGATTTGTCAAAATTGGCTTTGCTTCTTACTAAAGTATCCTGCTATTTGTTTCAATCTTGATGCAGTATCTGCAGTAACTGGGTTTGTATTTATTCAGAAACTCTACTGTCCTTTCTCTGTGCTTAACTTGCTAAAAATATATTCCCTACCTGTGAAATTCCTGAGCGGTGCTCTGCCAACTTTTGGAGGTTGGGGAGAGGGGTTTGGATGGCTGTGTTACTGCACACTGGATACAGAATTGTTCAGTGTTGTGAGTGGCAAATTTCTTCAACACCAGCAGCACTGAGAAGTGCACTATGGGCATTCGTACAGTTGTCCAATTGCAAACAATCTTTCATCTAGGAGAAGCTGAGGTGCAGAGTTCCATAGGAGTACTTTGAAGATGAACAGTTCAACTTTGTCTTTGTCTATGGAGTGGCATAGTCGGAGGATTTTATTTTGTTGTTTTTAGAGAAAATGTGTATGTACTCACTCCTCCTTGAAAGTGTGAGGGTGTTGGTCAAACTCACCATGGATTAATTTATATCTATTGTTTTGATTTTTTTTCAACCATAAAACAAGTGCCAACTAATTATCCATGGATGTTGTACTCTTCTAATCAATTTATTATTTGAGTGGGGGGTGGTGTTCATTTATTTTCATTTCTGACAATAAGTTAAACAGTTTCTTATTTTGCATATATTTGAGTCATTTTGTGGTTTGTAAAGTTTTTGTAATTATTTTTAGTGATCAGAAAGCAAATCACTTGATTTTAAAACTGAGCAAGAAGTTTTGGTAGTTTTTTTTCCCCAGATACCTGATAGTTTCTGTTGATACTATCCTAGGATAAAATTCTACTGTTTTAGGTTATGTATTTACTTTGCTTTTATCCTAATAGAAAAGGAAAAAAAAAAAGCCAAGCAGTAAATCAACTTGTTATTGTGTTCCAATAATCAGCTTAAAAATCTGATTTTCTTTTTTTTTTAATTAGAAGATTCAATTAAGTGCCATGCAATTGTAGCTTACTAGTGTTTTAATGTTTAATAGATTGCTTCTGTGGTGTTCTAACCATTTAACACTCTGTCATCCCTGGAGAAAGTGGTTCTGTTCTTACCGAACACATTCTCTGACAAAATCACCAGCTGCTTTATTTTTCTATTTATTATGGTTAAACAATTGATGAGATCTGAATCTTGACCAAACTGCTCAGCTGAGATGTTTTTCACAATAGACACTGTACAAAATGTGTGTGCGAAAGGACACAGTTGGGCGGTAGTTTTTTCATTAATGTGAACATTGACTAAACAAAGCAGTCCTGCCTTTTAAATCTTGTGGCAGCTCAGAAGGGAGGTGCTTAAGAACCTTAACTACTATGTCAGATGACAAAATACTTTTTTCCATTTTGGAGATTGGGTACTGCTCACACATGATGTATAGGGCTAAATATATGCTTGTTTCCTTGCACCTGTGTACTTCCCCGTCTCTCCCACCCCTTCCCTCCCCTGTAGGCAATAAATGGCCATTTTGCAAGTGCATCTGTGTGTCTTGGTTTTTGACTCTATTTGTACAGTGTAAGTTTCTGCATTTTGGTTGGTACTTGTCAAGTGAGACAGGAAGCCAAGGTAACTCAGGAAACAGTTACACTTCAAGCTACATTCTTGTTGCTTTTTTACATCACTACTTACACAAGATTCCAAAGTTAGCTTGCCTTGCCTGAAGAAAGTAAAGGGACATAGACTCCTCAGTAGAACTTGAAGAGCCAATGGGTAATGTGTGAGCATTGAAGCAGATAACTATGCTGGAACTTTTTATCTTAGCTCTCCAAGTAACTTTGATGAACAGAATTTCCCTGCTGGACTTCAGCCATGTAGTATAAATAAAAACTTAAATCTCTGTCTCGTAGAATGCAGGTTTGTTAACGAGGACATAGTTAAGCCCATCATGACAGGCAACCATCAGATGCATCAGGTCAGTTTCCAGTAGTGACCAGACTCCACAGCTGGATCTGCCAAGGCCTAGAGGAAATGCCTTAAATAGAGATGAGCAGTCTTCTGTAAGGATCTTCATAAAGTTCATGGAAAACACATTATGGAAAGCCATGCCTGGGTTCAGAGATTTTTGTGTATCAACTTCTAATTCAATTTTTTCCACAAACATTGTGCTAGAACACTCCTAACCTTGAAAGTCAGGCTCTTGTCTCCTCTATGAATTTGTATTCTGAGAATTTTTTTTTACGACATAGGAGAAGGTAATTATGTGTCGTGGAGTGAAACGTTAGCATCTTGGGAAGGGGAGAGGAGACTGTACTAATAAAATAATGGCATAGCATGTTGGAATTCAGTGCTGCAAGCAGTTCCTGGGAAGCAGAATCAAAGGGCATGAGCAGAAAACTCACCGGGGAGTACTTTGGGAGAAAACTTGAAAAAGAGAACTAGAGTTGGACCAAGGGAGGAGTTGAGGGGAATAGTGCAGCTCAACAAATGTGCCTTGGAAGCTCGGAAGACTAGGTGATTCTCCACAGTATGGTGGGCTAGACTCAGCATGGTAGCCTAGCAGTTAGTGCCTTGCATGTACTGGGATCCCATATGGGCACCAGTTCTAATCCCGGAGGCCTTGCTTCCCATCCAGCTACCTAGTTATGTCCTGGGAAAGCAGTTGAGAACTGCCCAGACCTTGGGACCCAACACCCATGTGGGAGATACGGAATAGGCTCTGGGCTCCTGGCTTTGGATTGGCTCAGTTCTGACCATTGCAGCTGCGTTGGGGAGTGAATCAGCAGATAGAGAATCTTCCTCTCTGTGCATCTGATCTCACAGTTTGGTAGGCTAAAACCCGTACTGTAGGAGTTCTCCAAACTGTTAAGGACTGGTCACTGAAAAATTATTTTCACGGGTGGTGTAGTTGAGATTATTCTAGAAAGAGTAAAGTGAAACAGCTCTGCAGTGGAGTAAGTTCTTGGAAACACGGGAGATGTTTTGCAATAGATGCCAACACTAACAGGTAAGTAGATTTGATTTTTTTTTTCTATTTGAAGGATTCAGTGTGACCCTGACATGAACCCTGAAAGCCTTGTCTTCATTAAATCCTTTATGTTAGCCGAAAGTGGGACCACTCACCTATAAGTGGGTCTTTAAGTTCTCCAGATTTGAAGATATGTCTTCTTAAGAATATACTCTGGGAGTTGGTGTTGTATCACTGGGGTTTTAAGCTCGTGCTTACCCTTCCAGCATCCCAAGTTGGGCTGCCCTTTTTGTCCCACATGCTCTGCTTCCTATCCAACTTTCTGTTAACATGCCTGGGAAAGTAACAGGGGATGACTCAAATGCTTGGGACCTTGCCACCTGTGTGGGAGACCTGGCTACAGGTCCAGATTACTGGCTTTGGCCCATTATAGCCCCCAGCTGTTGTCTTTCTGTTTGTCTATGTTTGTTTTTCCAGTGAGTATATATTTTTAAGATGCTCAAGAGACAAGACCTTGAAGATATTCACCAAGTGTCCTTGCATTCTACCATGTGTCATCATTTGGCAAAACATGTTCATTGCTGAAATGGAAATAGGTAATCTCACCCAGCCAGCACTAGACAATGCCTTGCATAGAGGTAGTTTGTTTGGATGAGTGAAACCAAAAAGGTGTGTGTGTGGCGGGGGGGGGGGGGGGGGGGGAGCTGGGAAGAATGAAATAGGGAACAAGGAAAAGCAAGTCAAAGGTCATGGTTGGGCCGTCATCTCTGTGGGGTACAGACCTGTCAGTGAGCCTCTGAGGAGCTGAATACAAGTCCCTTAACATTATCTTTACCAGGAGATGAGGAAAATGATGAACTTAGGGGTTCTCATTTCCTGTGAGTTAAGGGTTATGCCTTAGGAAGTTAATTCCTTTCCTCATCCATGCTGTGCATTTATCAAATTCACTTGGGAAACAAATATATAAGGAGTGAGCAAGTAGGATTTAGAGTGTAGAAGCTGAGAAATACTGTGTTCAGTAAGTGAGGTTAAAGGGTATGGGGCAGGGTACAGAGTATAAAGGTGCACATCTTTACCACTGAGATTTGGGCTCAGCATTAAGTCCATCTTGAGGTTAACCGGACATAATCCGAGCAACAATAAAAATAATGTAGCAGGCCTAGCACAGTAGCCAAGTGGCTAAAGTCCTCGCCTTGCAAGTGCCAGGATCACATATGGGCACCAATTTGTATACTGGCTGCTCTACTTCCCATCCAGCTCCCTGCTTGTGGGCTGGGAAAGCAGTATGGGACAGCCCAAAGCCTTGAGACCATGCACCCACATGGAAGATGTGGAAGAAGCTCCTGGCTTCAGATTTGCTCAGCTCCAACTGTTGTGGCCACTTGGGGAGTGAATTAGCAGTTGGAAGATCTTCCTCTGTCCTCTTCTCTGTATATCTGACTTTCCAATAAAAATAAATAAGTCTTTTAAAAAATAGCAGAACCAAATTCATTCTACTCCTGATTCTGAAGCTATGATTAGTATTTTCATCTTCCTTCTTCCATCAGATGTTCCTGAATTCACCCAGCTTCTTTCCTTGAAGTTGAGTACCCTAATCCCAACAAATTCTTTACCTTTGTTGGGTCATGGGTGTGAAAGAATCAAGATATGCTCAAGTTCAAAGCTCTGCACATACTCCTTTTTGCCTTGCATTTTATAGCTGCAACTCTGCTTTTCATGCCAATATGCCAAGTCCTTTCTCTCTTCCTGAAGGTATCGTCTATCTAATGCGTGGGTGTGTGTGGGTGTGAAGTTATGGTCCTAATCTACCTTAGCATCTGTGAAGTCCACCACAGCAGCAGACAGCCCATAACAACGTGGGCATCTGTGCTACCTACAGGTTGCCCTGATCTTATTGATGGATGGGATGTGGATTCTAGATATAATCTGGTATTGCACTGTTGGTGGTACAGACTGCTTCCTTCATTCCTCTCCCAACCAGAGGAAACACAACATAGAGATGGTAACTATCATCTGGGAGAAGGGGTGTTTAGGTGCCAGGACATTACATAGAAGCTGGGACCCGTGCTCCACTAGATTTGGGCCAGTGCTACTACGGTCATAGTCCTGCCACAATGGCGATCCAGGCAACCCTCCAGCTCCCCTCTGGCCTGCTTTCTAGTTGATGGAGGGGGGGGGGGTGTGAATCCTGGGCACCTCCATGAGTGTGCTGCTTGGGTTTGATCCCTTGAAGAGTGAACCTTTGGAAGACCCCCCTCTCCACTCCCCAGATGAATTGAGAAGAGGTCAGTCTCTTTACTGTGTCTCATCCCAATTCTATCAACCGCATGGCTTCCCACCTCGGAGACCCAAGCAGGGACACCTTTGGAGCTGCGTTGTAGGAGCCTGAAACTCAGAAGCTCCAATAGCCACAGAGAATATTTGAGGACTTGAAGAAAGGAGCAGCCAGGTTCTATCCCTGCCCCCATTGTGATTCTTTTCAAAACCCTATCACGCAAATGTCTATTGGTCTCTGAAACCTGAACACCCATAGAAAAGGGAGGGTCAGGTTTGGCAGTGGGAGCCCAGCCCTCAGAAGCTCCTACCAAGAGTCTGAAGAATTTAAGCCTTGGGCTCTGTCTTTACCTCAACTGTGATTCTTATAGTCCTGCTGTTGGGGTGGGGCGAAATTTCCAAATCAGGGAAGCATTTCAGAAACTTCTTTAGATACCCATTGCTCATGTTGCTGCCACTTCTCCATTTCTGGGAGCAACTTGCCTTTTCTTGGAATGGTGCACCCACCTCAGGCCTGTTACAAGGCATGCTCCCGTGGTGTCATCTCGTAGATGCCTCATTAATTTTAAACTATACTGAGAACAATTAAAACCATGTGATTGTTCCACTTATTTTGATCAGGCCAAGAGATGAAAATCCAAACAGTAACAGACAATCCTCCTTAGCTCAGGGGACTTGCTTGGCCATCTTAACATTTTCTGGGAAACAGAGATCACATGGAAGAAAAGGGTTACCAGGGATTCCACAGTGGTCACTGTAAGAAATAACTTGAACTTCTGCCATTTGGGACTCGGTATTGTTTTAAATATCTGCTTCCCCTAGGTTGGATTCCTTAAGACTTGCATTCCCTTCAAGTTCAAATTTTGTTGTGTGCCAAATCTAGTGTAACTTTGCAACCCTGTTCCCACCAATTCTCTGCAACCTCATGGTGCCATACCTGACAGCCCTCTCCAGCAACCCTCAATCCCCTGTGGCTTCAGCAATCCTAGTATCTTACTCCTACCTCTCCCCTGCTCGCCTTGCAGCCCCTTCCTTCCCTCTCCCTCTGCCTCCACTCTGTCCTTTGGCCCCTACCCTGCTGGAATAAAGGACCTCCTAGGTGTCTCACTGTGTCTGGTGTTTTGGCTTGTTTTGGCAAACTTATCCCGAAGAGAGCTTAGTTATGCAAAAATACCTAACACTAACAGCCACATAGGACAATGGTCAAGGGTGAGGAGGGAAGTAGGGCAAGGCAGGAGTGATCGTGGTAGCACCCGTGCTCTTGGAACCTGTTCTGGCAGACAGCAGGATCACTCCTGCA